GAACCCTTGTTTCTCCTGTGATCAGGAAATAGGAAGAACCCTTGTTTTTTGCAAGACATTCCATTGAAGAGGAGAATTTGAATCTTCATGCAAACTGTCTAAAAGCTTGTCAGAGAGTGCTTTTTAATATTGTTTTGGAATGTTTCTTTTAGTACTTTGAAGCATTGCTATCATTTTAGGCATTCTTAGGTTGTAGGTAGCAAGTTAAGAAAGTGATACTTCCCCTCTGCTTGGCACTTGTACCTGCACTCTTGTGTGCAATTTGGGGCTCTCTGGGAAAAGTAAGATAGTAGGCATATTGGAGTGAGTTCAGTGGAGGGCCACAAAAATTCATCATCAGAGCACTGATGCTTACAGCATGCAAGAAGATGGTTTAACCTAAATGAGATAAGGTAAATGTTACGTTTCCAGGCAAATTTCTTCTTGGACATTCATTAGCTGGTAATTTTGTATTCCAGTAACCTACTGCTACACTGTAATCTCCTTCAGTATAATACATGCTTTATATTAAAAATTGAGACTTTAACACTTTGCTGAGAGGTGTTACAGTTTTGAACTAATGTGCTCTGATTGTAATCAGCATCTCAGGCAAGTAGTAATGAACACTTTTGGCAATGCTTGCATGACTTGTCCAAATATTGCACTGAATACATATTTTTTTATAATGTCAATCAATCCTAAATGGAAATTCACTTACTCTTATAAAACGTGTGTCTTGGTTTCAGCTGGGTCAGAGTTGATTTTTTTCTTCATACTGTCTTGTATGGTACTTTGTTTTGGCTTTAGTTGTTGCTTAGCAGTGTTGTACAGAGTGAAGGAACTTTCAGTTTCTTAGCTTCTGTTACTGACCAGCTAATGAAGGGAACTAAAGAGACAAAGGAAACCGGGAGGGGACAGAACCAGGAGAGATGACCTGAAATGGACAAAATAATATTCCATATCGTATGTTATCATGTGGATTAAAAAAAACTTGAAAAGCAGTGGGAAGTTGGCCAGGGGAGCAGCTACTGCTTGGGGAAAAGCTGGGCATGGGTTGGTAAGTGCTGAGCAATTGCTTTGTACATCACTTGTTTTATATATGTATAAATATATATGTATGTCAATGTTAGTGAGTTGAACCAACTGTCCTCTACCTGGTTGTGTGGAAGAACCATGCTGCATATCTCATCTAACCAGAACAAGCCGTTGAGTCTGTTTTGTAGATGCTGTACTGGATTTTTGTTTGGTCATCATTGTGGAAAGGCAGATTGCCATTACCATGTAGAAATTGGTCCACATGGAAGTTGTGCAGTGGAATGCTAATCTGAAGAAAGTAGGGAAAGAAACTTGTGTGCCTATTTAAGAACATGGTTTTTGAATGCTTGTTTATACAGTTTGCTAAAGATACTACTAAAAGTATAAATGTAAGAAAGTCTGACTTGTCTGAAGTCAGAGTATGATGCAGAGGGGCTGATTAGCAGTATCTCAAACATGTGCTTTTAGTCAAGAAAAGATCCAGATTTATGATTCTTTTACCTCAATTTAGAAAAAGGTTTGTCTTTGGCCATCCATTGATCTGGAGCATAATATGAAGGCAAGTACTTGCCTTCATAAGACCAATCTTTTATTATTCTTTCACTCTCAGGATGACACATGCATTTTTAGCTGTTGTAATTTTTCAACTTAAAGTCATAAGCTATTGATTCTAGTTAAATGTGTAAGAAGTGTTTAAAAATTTATTGTCAGCCTTTTATGATAATAACTGTTGAGATAATTGCCTTTGATTGCAAAATAATTGCACTTATGGTCACCAACACCTAAGATTACCAGTCCAGCATGGGAACAGACACAAATGTATGATTACTTTAACTGTTCTGTAAACGTTCACTGACAACCTATTGTTATAGTGTAATGTCTTTTATTTAATCTGGAATTGACCATGCTAAATTTGGTTATCAAGTTAAGTACTTTGTCTTTGTTGAGGTAATGTTATAAATAAGATTTACTGAAAGAAGGGTCTGCAAGCAAGTCTACTCTGTAATTATTTGAATATTTAGGAGATGAAAGTCACAAAGGTGAAGCATATGTTTATGTGAAAACAAATTTCTGCACAAAATGTGAAATTTGTTTGTTTGTTTGTTTTGGTTTGCATGTGTGTGCAGACTGTTGTCTCCCTGAAAGAGATTTTGTAGCTTATGTTGGTGGAGCGGGGCACCCAGCGTATCTCTAGGCAACCTGTTCCATCCTCACCTCGTTCACCATCCTCACTGTAAAGGGCTTTTTCCTTATTTCTAACCTAAAACAAAAGAAAGCAAAAAATTTTCAAGTTCTGTAAGAAAGCTATTAATTAAACATTCCATTAACAGGGAAGTTACATAACAGGTAGGCCAGTTACATGCATTGTTTTTAGCATTACGTTTTAATTAGAAAAAATGAATCTAAACATTGTTCTAAATTAAATACTTTAGAAAAAAAGCGAAATATTATGATAGCTTTCAAAAAAAACCTCTTCATATGTGTACTTGTAATCTATGAAAATGTTTAGTATATGATATAACATTTTTTTAAAAAGTCATAAATAAATGAGTTGCAATTCCTAAGAATAATTATTCACTTTGGATATGCTGCTAAATGAAAAACAGTATGTCAGCAAAACTTGCTGTTATGGCGTGCTGAGTTGACTATAGTGGAAGATTGCCCTGATTTTATGTATTTACTATTCATAACTTAATTTTAGCACTTTCAAACCAAAGTATTTCAGTAGATTTACTGTTGATATTAGACTTGGAGAATGTTATTTCTGTTTCCTTATTCTGCTTCCTTTTGCATTTACGGTTATGTGCATATGTTAATGTGTGTACAAACATACCCCTGCACTCACTGAGTCTTTGGAGCTTCCAGGTAGGAAGAGGACCATACAGTAATTAAATGTCGTTATTAGGAGATTGCCATTAGATACTGAAAGCTGTGACTGTGAGCTGATGAATACATACTCAGTTAATAGGTTTAGTGTGTATATGCATGCAGTATTTCAGTAATTGCATCTGTAAAACTCTTGAAGTTATGCCAATGGTTACGCGTAAATGTATTATTGTGTGTCTGTGCTCTACGTAGGGCGTTCATAAAAATGATCCTAATTAGCTTTTAAGATGGATTAGTTACACAGTTATGCACTATTATCTCTCTCTGTATAGATACTATTATTGAAAATTAATTTGCTTTGTACACGTGTCAAGCTCAGCTCACTGAAGACTAACAAAGTTCTTCATGGAGGTGTTCACACGAATTTAACATGGACCTGCATTAAATTCATTTTCACCCCTGTTTTTGGATTACTTCTTCCTAGGGAATAAAACCATGAGATATATGCTGTGTCGTGTCTCTGAGCAGATGATGGAAAAGTTCAAGATGACTTGTAGTGATCTGTAAGTGCTTGAGGTTTATAGCAATCTACAGAATGTTACTATACAGTAGTTTTTCAATTTGAAGTTGAAAGGCTTTTTTTTTTTCTGCAGTAAAACACAGCCCAGCATTTTTGCTCGTGTTTAAGTCAAGTACGTGGTGACATTTCTTTACAACTCTTGAGATGGTTCTGCGTCTCTTAATAAGCTTTCTTAAGAAAGTAATGCAAGAGGATTCTATCCCACATCCTTTAAAATTAGGATCAACCAATCAGAGAAGGAGACGTTAAACATACAACTTAAATAACTATTTACATTTCAGCTTACTTCTGTTTGTAAATATAAAATTAATTTTAATAAAACCAAAAGGCTTAAAGGAGGTAATTTTTCAATCTACTACTTTATAATTTTGCAAACAAGTTTTCTTTCCTTAAACAAGCGTAGGTTGTTTTTTGTTGGTTTTTTTTTTTTTTTTTCCTGTGAAGTATACTAGTGTACTTATTAGCAGGTATTATTTTTGGATTACAGAACTGTCCATCTTCACCCTGGTTGATTACTTTGTTGGCTTCAGCAAGCAGACCTCTTAATATTCATGGAGTCTTCTGAGGTGATGACTGAATGTTTTGACAGCATAGTTTCAAGAGGCTGATTTTTTTTCTTTTTTTTTTTTGTTAATGATATCATTATATATTGGACATATACAGTATGGTCAATATCCAAGACTTCACAGCATTTTTCATACGCTGAAATGGTATAATGGTTTTGTGATTTTTGTTATATGTATTTGACATCATAACATCATGTAAAACACTGGGAGTTATGGGCTGAACCAGCTCATAAACTGATTACAAATAGTAAAGCTGAAAGTACTACACATGCATCTCTGTCATGGTTTTGTGATTTTTGGTTCTTGGTATTCCACATCATAACATCGTGTGGGGCACTGGGAGTTTAACTGTTAATGCTCAAGTTCTGGGTACCTGCCTGGAAGAAAAGAAGAACTACGCTCCCCAGGGGACTTTGTGGTCATAGAGAGAAGATATAACTTCCGGCAAGGTCACCTGATGTGCTCTTTTTTTGTCTGCTCTTCTTTGTCGGCTCTCTTCTTTCGTCTCGCTGCTGCTCAACTGGACTGCGCATCTCACCTCAGCATTATGGTGAGGCCTATCCACCTTATACTAGAATATATTAGATTTATTAGCTTCAATTCTGATTATATTGTATTATGGTGTGTTATCTTGCATTCTGATACTATATTTAGTAAATTAGTTTGTTTCTCCTCAGATCGTTGCTGCTGGTTTTAATTATTTTGGGGTCCCCTGTTCCCTTTTTCCAGAGCCGCAGATTTTGTGAAATCCCTCCGTCCCTCTAGTCACAGAACTGGGCCGAACCAGCCCGTAAACAGTATGTGTGAGTGCAGTATGGATGCTGTAGGGAAGAGATTTGCAGTATTTTGGCTAGCAGTAAATGTTATTTTTTCATTGTGAATTGGGACTGTGTTTTGGCTCCGAGAGTTGATTCATTTTGTGAATGAGAAGGTCATTACTTTTAATGTCTTTGTGCTTTGAAGATACTTGTTCTATTTGTGTTTCTTTTTCTTTTTTTTTTTTTTTTTTTTTTTTGAAAATTTCCATTTTTATTTGCTTGTCTCAAAGCTACTCCTCTCTCAGTCTCTTTCTGTCTTGTCCAGTCTTATATCTGATTTGTCTCTTTTTGTGCTATTAAAACCTGTTAAAAACTTGCTCATGGAAAACACTAGGGAAGTGTCTCATCAGATTAAAGTAAATATGATTTTTTTTTTTATTTTTCATAAAGTAGCAATTCAAAAAAAGCATGGAATTTTCAGAAAGGGAACACTGTTACTGTAATTCTCTACCTCCTTTTCTCATTAGTACAGCATTGCCACAGGAAAAGAAAAAATGAGCACCATTAAAAAATTCAAGTGGTTGGGAACCTCAGGAGATAATCTAATCCAAACTACTGACCGGTGCTAGGTCAGGTGTAAGGTCCAACATGGCTGCTCAGGGCTTGCTATCCAAAGATTGAGACAGCGTATCATCTGTAGGTTTCCTTTTTTACTACTGCTGTAATACTTTTTGCATAATATTCCATCTAAGCCTCTAGTGCCAGCTTGCACTTCTTATCCATCATCCTCTCACTCTGCAACATTGTGAAGAGCCTACCTCTGTCTTGGTAATACTCTCATCTCTCATCAGTTCTGCAAGGCTGCTATTATGTTCTGCCTGATGCTTTTGTATTTCCAAACTGCAAACCGAGTTCCCTCAGCCTCTCCACACAGAGCAAGCAGTCCAGGTCCCTCCACATTTGGGTGGCCCACTGCTTGCCTCAGTTTGTTTCTCTCTTGTTTTGAGAGATTCAAAAAGTGAGTGCAGTATTCTTCCTGAATGGAAGAGGATAATCACTTTCTCCTGCATCTACTACCTACCATCACACACAATCTACTACCTCTGCTCCTGTTATAATGCACTGCTACTTAAATTCCGCTCAATGAAAATACTGAATTTGCTATTTCCAAAGTGTAATATCCCATTCTCCTCGAAAATTCTGAATGCTACCATTGTAGCTTTCCACTTAAGGAACTATCTTAAAAATGCTTATGAAATTTTGACCTTCAGTTTTCAAAATAATTTAATTATGCAAGGGAACAGATTAATTAATAGGCTTTTAATTTATCCCCTTTGTGGATACAGAAGCCTGTTTTGAAGCTTAGGAGCCAGTAGGCTTCTCACAGTCACCTTTATTTTATGGTTACAGGGATGTTTCTTTACTGTCTTTAATAGATTGCTGCCTCTGAAATACATATTAATGCTTACAAATATCACATACTCTGAAATGTGTGTAATCAGTGATCTTAGAATGCTTTATAAACTATAAGTAAAATCTTGTATTTAAGAATCTTCTATTCAAATAATTGCAGAAGTGTAAAAGTCTTGTTGCTAATGTGTAGTTATGTGTCATGTACCTGCAAATATGTTGTGCTTTAATTGAAAATTTTCCAAATGACAGATAGTTGCAATCTAGACAGAAATGACCTTACGCTTTAACTTAAACACTTATAACGATTTCTGTTACTAATGCAAGCTTCAAAGAGGATATTAATTGGAAAGGCAATTTTATTTTGAGATACTCTATTGTGTATCTTGGCCATAAAATAAACTCTCTTTTGATGAAGGTAAGAAGCAGTTTTCTTAAAGATTAAGTAGTTTAACCATTTTTCATATACTTACTGTGTTACATAGATCTCCTTTAGTTAGTAAATTTTTAACAATATTCTCCCATTTTTGTCAGTGAGAGTCTTCAAGCTTTCTTGCAATCCATATAAACAGGCATCTGTATGCACAGATCTAGAACTTTTTCTTTCTTTGGTACTTTTTTGACTGCTGTGTGCAATGTTTTGTTTAAGATGGACATCATTAATGTGGTGAAAAGTTCTATGCCATTATATGCTCAGCAGTAACCTTTACTCATAATGTGATATTGTCTGTCTTATTTTGTTCAGCTTTCTCTGGCACTGATGAAGCCTAAGGCTGCTGTTTCTTTTAGTTGCTGATAATTTTTTATCTGATTAACTGACACATTTAGTTGAAATCAGACACAGCCCTTAGGCTGGGCATGGATTTAATTTAAAAAGTATCAAAGGTTTGCACTGCGTGCTGTTTAATCATCATGTTTATCAGGCAAAGAAAAATTACTGGAAGGACCATAGGGAGAGGGTTATCTTAAGGAGCAGTAACTTGGGAAATTGATAATAACTCTGAGGTAATTTACTGCTAAGTTTTACATTCATTAATATAACATTTCCCACTAATAATTACAGTGCTTGTAATGTACTAATTAAATAGAAAACATTAGCACTAATTTTCATTTTGCTGAAGTCTGAGAAGGTCAGGTAAAGACATTAAAATGTGAAATTAAAGAAAACCTCAGTACTAATACCACTGCAATGAATATTTTACTCACTAGTGGAATACCTCTACTGATATTGTGTACTACAACACTTATGTAGACGTTGTTACTTATTACTATCACTATCCTTAATTGCATTTCAATTACTGAAATAAGAATAAAAAGATCAGAAATGAAATCACAGTGTGCTAGCTTAGATTATTTTACATTTCTCTTTATATTCTATGTCAGCTGTGAAGTAGTTTTTCAATTTTATACATGGGTTCTACATAGCCATGTTAACAGCAGCCTAACAGTAAGCATGCTCATGGCAGCTATGCTTTGGAGCTTTCACAGAACTGTTTAATTTTTCATTATATATTCTAAAAGAAAAAGGAAGGTGAAAGTATTTTATAATATGAAAAAGGCAGTAATTTCAAATCAAGTTATTTATAAAATCTTCAAAACTAAGAAGCTTTAAACAGAAATTGTGGACTTTAATACAGTTACAGTTGAAAAGATCTATTTGTTGTTCTAACATGATTGATTATGAAGATTATTATTCATGAATGCTATGAATAGGAATAGTCTGGTGATAACAACAAGTGTTGTAATGTAATTCCACTTATAGGTAAAGCTTGTAATCTTTTGTATATAAAAGCAAGCTATACTCCAACTAACAAAAATTTATTCTAATTTTTTAAACTTCATTTTCATATCTGCCTTTAAAATGAGTATTGCTAGAAGTTTTGTGGGAGAAATTACAATATTAAATAATAGAATATAAATAGTTGTTAGCATGTATTTGTATTTCTGTTTGCATTTAGTGCCTGTCTTTATCACCTTATGTAGTGATATAATACTTTGTAAAATATTGTGCTGAACATAAATACTTTCTGTACTGCTCAGAAATTCCAGAGAAGCAAAAATGTATTTTTACTTCCAACTGGTTTATTGTACTAATGAGATATTAAAATAAGTTAATATTAATTTTCATCCAACATTTTCATGTTGTCTGTAACCCTTTCTATGGCACAGAGACTAACATATTTCTTCCCCAAAGTTGCTTCCTTGGCTTTTGAATTAAATGCTAATCCCTGATACTCCCTACAGATTTCAGGCTTCTTTACACAAGCTGAGTTTTGTAAACATGTTTTAATAATATCAAACATGATTAGATTACATATTAAAAAGTGTACTATCTGAGCTATGTCACAATTAAATCTGGAATTTCTTTCCGGAATAAATTCTGTTTGCAAATTGTCCAGTAACTCTTCCAGTGCCACATAGTGAATCTATTGAAGAACTAGGTTTCTTTCAGTACTTGAAGTGCTGAGCTAAATACCAATTACAGCAAGGTTTTGCTGTAAACTTGGTCGAGTTGAGGAATTTATGAAGATTGTTACACTTCAGTAACTTTTTCTTGAATTTGTTCTGCTTTAGTCTTGATTTGTTGAAATGTACAGAATAAGATAATTGAATTTATACCCTTTTGTGAGATAAATGTATTTATATTAACTAGCTCTTCTGTTGCAAAGCATTTATTAACTATATTAAGTTTATCAGTAGTTAATTGTTTCCCCTTGTGGCACTGTGCTGTCTGCATAGTGATGGAACTATGTATTTGCAGAAAAACTAAATTAAAAGTGATGGTGGTGAATAGCTCCCTGTTAGAAGTCCTTACACTTAGATGCTAACCAGAACTGAAATATGGCATGAAGTACTGCCATTTCAAAAGATCGTGAAAAACTTATGCATTATTAAAAGAAATAAACTAGTATAAATACAGAATAAATAGTTTATGAATATTAAATAGGAATTAATATAGCTTGCAAGCAAGCAGGCTATGACAGTATTCTGTTCATTACTAACTTCAATATGTATTGCATACATGTATATGTAAAAATATATACTTTTTTGTGTATGTGTGTATATGCATTCATACACATATACCTCCACTCATTAAGTTAAATGTAGCTAGGTGTAATTGAAGAGCTGTCACTGCACTACAATAAATATCATGGTTGTAATAATAAACATTTTATTTTTTTATGATATTTTTTGATGAGGAAAAGAAAAGCATATGTATTATAAAAGTGTATGGAAAAATACATATGATATATTTATTTATCATATGTAGCCTTGGAAGTTAATCTAGTTTGAGACTACACATGCAGTGTATGTATGAGATGCAAAAACATTGGTTTGTGGGATAGTTTGCCATTTGTATCTTGAGCAGTGGAAGTTATTACTTAAATGATAAGCAGTGACTTTTTTTTTCAGAATATCTGAACACATGGTTTCCTTGTTTTTTTGTTTTAGTGGATGAATAGATGCAAAAAAAACAAAAACAAAAACAGTATGATGGTATATTCAGTGAGAATTTTAATGAAAACTTTCCTCAATTGTGTGGAAAATATATCCTAAAAATAGTTTCCTAATTACTATTGTTTACGCAGACACTATGACTGAACATTTCATTTGTGAATAATTTCTTTCTGAAAGAAACATTTAGGAAAGCCATGAATATTTCAACTGAACCTGTTAGCAAATCAACAACACTAAAATAACAGTTACAATTTTATTGTTTATAAAAATTGATGACAGTATAATATAAAAGGTTGTTGGCAAACTGTTTCTGTTCAAAATTACAATAAGAGTAAGAGTTCAGAGTAACTTTAAATTGTATTATGAAGTGGTTTCCTTTAGAGCATAATGCTACTACAGACAACTGGCATGCATAGAAATAAAACAGGACCAATAAGCATTGGCAGCATAGTGAATCTGCTTAATTGGCGAGCTCTTCTGCTTTTAAAAATTATTGCTGATGCTAATACTCAAAAAAAAAAAAAAAAAAAACCTTTAAAAATATGTGCATAAAATAGTTGTTTAATTTATACTTTTATTCTGAGTTCTTAAACATAAATAATTTTGAAAATTTGAAAATTGAAAAAGTCTGTTTGCTTTCTGTGATATTATAAGATTCAGAGTTTAGTTCCATGGAAGTGACTAACATTTTCCAAAGGGTAAAAGTAAGAACTCTAAGGCCATAAACATAGGCTGCTTGCAGGAGTTATTTGTATTACTACATTCTCTATTGAAAAGTTTGACTATATCTCAGTCTTGGAATTTGTAGGAGGGAAAGTTTCTTTTTTTTTTTATAAAGTACTTTTAAAATGTAGTTCTTGTAATTCTTAACTGATTTTTTTTTTCTATACAACATTCTATTAATGATGGATATTATACATCTCAGTCTTATAAAAAAACTTTTGAAAATCTACTTTTGAACACAGTGTTATTGTGCTCTTAGTATCTGTTATAGTCTGTGGAAATTCTTAGAAGGCATTACTCTCATGGTTTAGTAGAGTTAATGTTGTGTACTGCATGACCATGAAGATTTTTATTACCTGGCAAAGTTTGTATTGTAAAAGACTCTGAAAAAGGTAGAATTACAGTCATCTCTGTTTAGTAGTGTGCAAACTGTTGTTAATTTAATAGAAATGAACAAACAAAAAAATAATCCAGTAATCTCAATAAGTAGAATAAGCGAATTCTTCCCAGCCTTTGCCAATGTTTGTTTACACTGAGCCCTGTATGTTCTACAACATAATAAAAAAGTACCATTTGTCAGGTATGAAGAAGTAGGTTTGAAAGACATTGTGATTCCATTTTTTGAGTTTTCCACTTTATTTAGAAAATATAACTTGTTTAGTATAATAGCACTTCAGACATTTTTTCATTATTCATTCAGATCTGTAAAGAACACAAGATAGGGCTAGCTATAAATTAAGTTCAAGAGCCTAGTGTTTGTATTCTTCTAATTTTTAAGGAAAAAAAGAACAGCAAAAGGAACTCTTGATAAAGCATTTCCATGTTGAATAATTCTGAACACTAGCAGTCTTTTTCATTGCTGTGGTGATTCTTCTTTCCTGTCATACAGAAAACCTACATAGAAAAAGAGCTTTTCTTCCATAGATTATCAAGTAAATTAATCCAATAATTCCAAAAGGGATTATTTAACAGCATTAAATATTCTTTTGGACACCCTTATTCAGAATGACTTTATTCACTGGCCTTAATATTTAATTGACTTAAAAGTTAACTGTGAATTTAAATTAACCTAATTAGTAATTTGCATAAATTTTCCTGAGGGTGCTATTACTCAAATATGTTTGAAAAAGAAAGAAAATATCTTGATTTCTTTTTTTTTTTTTTTTTTTTTTGTGAAAGTAAACTTCACGTTGAGTGTTGAGATGTTTATTTGATGTATTATTTTTTACTCTGCTTGACTCTGAAGAAAGGTTATTGGATTTTGCGTATGTCACCTTTATTTTAAAACAGCTCTGTAGAGAATTGTAGGTGGTTAATTTGAAGGCTCTAAAGAGGCTTCATATAGGAGAAAGAGTGTACATACTCCTCCATCTGAAAATTGTTTCCTAATTAAATCTGAGTGCAAAGATGTTCTGTGTCTTTCTTTGCAGGTGGAGTTGATGAGTAGGAAATCCATTGAGATTCTAGGAGTGGTGCATTTTATTGTTTTTCAGTAATAGAATCAACTTATCATCACTGAGTTATGGAATGGATGAGTTTGGAAGTGACCTCTGGGTAAACAGGGCCATCAAGAGCAGGTTGCCTCATCCCATGTCTGGATAGCTTTTGAGGATCTCCAAAAGACTCCCCAGTCTCTCTGGGTAATCTGTGCCAGTTGTCTGTCACCAATGAATCACAGAAGTACTTCCTGATTTTCAGATGGAATCTCCTGTTTTCCAGTTTGTGCCCACTGCCTCTCATCGTAGCACTGGACACCTCCGAAAATTAATATAAAGAGTATGAAGAAGAGGTGTCCAGACAAATGTAAAGTAGAATTATTAAGACTCTGGAGAATTTTAGTTCAGTACTATGGCAGGATTTCATAGACTGGTTTGATTTTGAAATTTGTACATAGATATATAGTTCAAAATTTTGTGGTAGTCTTTCTGCAAGCTTCAAAGGGTTGATGTGTAACTGATCAGCTCCAGAACATAACTCACCTTGTATAGTTACAATTAACCTTGGTTGAAAGAACAAAGCAACTGTGTCTAGAGTAACGTCAAAGAAAGGGAGTGAGTCCAACATGTTGACTGGAACCCAAGGAGTTTAAGAAGGTGAAAGTTCATGAAATATTTTACATATGTACGTTTTCAAATGTTATGTTTTCAATGCGTTTGCAAGAAAAAAATAAAGGACTGCTTAAGTAATTGAAATAAAACAGGGCTGCAGAGACAATGTATTGGGAAAGCTTTGATTTATTTATTTATTACAATTTGTAGGTGATTTTAAGTTCCATGCAAATATTCTATCATATTTTATTCTTGTGCTATTTCTTATGACAAATGGTAACATTTTGATTATACTTTATGATTATATATTACTGATTTATTTGTAGGTAGGATAGCTGACATTTCAGTTACAGTAAAGAATTGTGGGTCATTTTCAGGATGTCAGGAAAGTATTAGAATAGGCTGTTAAATCTGGTATTTTTTAGTTACAGCGATTATTCCTTGCAGAATGATACTTGCTTACTCTGGAGTCGTAACCATCATGCAGGTCAGCTGTATTGCTCTCTTCTATGTAGAATCTGCATTGCAGCCCACTTTGTTCCATTTATTGGGCACAAGAAAAATCATTTAGTCTTGGTTGATTCTTCTGATAGAAGTACTCAAACTCTATTTTTCAGGCCAGTGTACAATGTTTATCATTATTATTCCTTTTCTTCTTTCAGGACAAAGAAGCAGTGGAGGGTGTGTCTGTAGGAGCTATTCTTTCTGACTACCAGAGAGTTCGAGTTGAAGATGTGTAAGAACACGTTATATCTTTATTAATATAGATATACTGGAAAGTGTTTTGTTCATTTGTTTTCCTTCAAATTCTGGAACAGATGATTTTATTTCTCATGTTTTGTGATACCTAATTCATTCAGTTTGCTAATATGAAATATATTTTTTTCTTTTTTTCCCTGAAACTATGTGTTTCATATTTATTAGCATTGTATGTAATACATGTCATTAGTAAAAATCCAGTAGAAAGTATACCAGAGTTTGGGATTACTCTCCAAGTTGAAATAGGTTCAGGTCTTTGAGTGAGCTTCAGCTGAAATCAATTACAGAGACACGTATGTGTGTGTGTGTATATCAATTCCAGTGGTGATGTATATGTATTTTTCAACAAAATTTTAAAGTGGGAGCAGTTTGTAACTTGTTATCAGGAATGAAACGGAAGACAGTCCTTATTCACCAATCTTCCATTACTTGCTTGAAATCTGAAGTCCATAATTGTTAATCTGGAATTTTCAGTAATATTTCTGCTGTGCACATTCTTTAAGCTTGAATAAATTGTGATACTTCAGAAAGTCTAAATGGAAAACAAAAAAGAATTATGTAATGGGAATTCTTGAAAATTGTGTGTTATTCAGACTGATTTGGGTATGGAAAAAAAATTTATGCTTCAGAAATGGAAAAAAAAAAAAAAACTAAATATGAATTATGATTTCCTGAGTCCATTAGTTATTTGTTGATGATACAAGCAAATATGTGAAACACTTTATGAACCTGAATTTGATTTAATGCCAGCTCTGCTCACATCAGCAAGTTACCTAGCACAGATGTTTTCTTTACACTTTACAGAGGTAAATTGCAGTCAGAAATAGCTCCTTTCTTCTTCTTTTCCATAACATTCAATGTGAGTACTGATATAAAGGAACAATAGTCAGTTTTAATGACCTGGTCATATTACTAGATGTTCTAGAAGGGATGGCTTCTGTTGATTATGGGTTTCAGATCTTTTATTACAGCTGAAAGATTGATGTAGTATCACTATATTTCAGAGATCTTATTAATACTGATTTGAAGATTTACTCTTTGCAAATGTTTTTTACAGAAATCATCCCAGTTACTTGAATTCAGCTAATTCATAAGCTGAATTTGAGCACCTAAATGAACTCCTTGACATTCAGAGTTGCTAAATATTTCTAGTAATTTCACAACTGAGTTCTCTATTAAAATATCTGAAAACAATCACAAAACCAATCAGATTTACATGGGTGTTAACTATGAATGTAGGTATCAACATAGAAATCCATTTAACTACAAATTCTCAATGCTAGTAGTGATGGGATATCCCATATTTTTATCAAACAGTGTTAAGTGACAAATAAATAAAACTTTTCAGTTACTTGAGTGCAGTGGAATTGGCAGGTCATGGCCTGAACCAATGATTGAGCATCAGGTGAAGAGGCATGGCAAACCCAGGGAGCTCAGCTGCACGTGAGTGACTAGAATGGGCGGACTCTGGGTCTGCCCCTCCTTGCCCTCATTTAAGGGTTAGCAGCTGAGATTGTGCTCCTCTTCAGTCATCATCAGTTGTCGGAAGGATTGAGCTAATTTTTTTCAATATCTTTTATTGGTCCATGGTGCTTGTATTCCAGTAGAAGGCACTGTCATCTCCTTCTGTTGTTGCACGTTGAGATAGTCCCTGTATTTTCATGTTTTTAAATTTTCCAGAACATAGGCTTTATACACTTTATCACCAACTGATGGTACTTGACAACTAACAGAAGGATTAACCATCAATACTGCAAAGTAGTGATTCTCTACTATGATAATCAAATACTATGTCAGCATGATATATATATGTAAACAAATAATTAAATTTACATTATCGAGTTACTACTTTGTACTCAAGCTGTAAACATTCCCATTAGCGATTCTCTTCATTGGCTGTTGATCCAAATCACAGATTTTTTGAGAGCAACAAACTTTATTTGCTAACGTGTGCAACAGTTATCTCATAGTAACTCTTGCCTTAGTTGTGTTGATAAAAAAGTTATAATTTCCTAAGATGTTAATGGATTTGCATCTATAAAGGTTAAGTCATGCATTTTCTTTCAGTTTTCCTTATGTTCCCCTGCAAATTTATTGATATCAATGAGTTGCAGCTTATGTAGGTAAAGTGTAGTCAGAACAAGATTCTTTTTTTTTTTAATATTGGACTTTATCATTTTCTTTAATTTTAAATTAATTATTCTGTACAAAAATATAATGCTTGGTTTTCATTTTTTGTTGTTATTGGTTTTTTTTAGATGCAGAAGACTTAATCTTCAACCTTTAGCTTACCTTTGGCGTCGGAGGGAGGAAATACTGCTTAAAGAAATGATATCATCTAACATTGAAGCCATAATCATAAAAGTGGCAGCTTTTGGTATGTATTCAGACTCTGAACAGTGTTGTCTACTAAAACTTCAATGAACAAATTCACAACATAAGAGAAAAAAAAAACAGAAATTGTTCTACCTTTTAGGATGATAAAAGCTGTTATGAGCATAAAGAAATTAAAAAACAAACAAAAAAAAAACCCACAACAAAAAACAAAACCAGTATAGCTGAAGAACAGTCATGCTGTCTGAGTAACTTTTACACTATAGTTTCTTAGTGCTCCAGAATATTAATATCTTTGCATTGTCAGATATGTCATATGAGGTTTGTATAATAGAGCAAATCAAAAGATTGTTTATTTGTTTATTGTTTAGAGTTCAAGTGAAGTTTTATAGCAAGTCTTATTGAATGACATGTTTTATGTGCCACATAAAAATATGGCTGAGAAATATGGAGTATGATTAATATGGTATACTATATTCATTTCAGGCTTCTATGCAATATTGCAATATTTAAAAATATTAGGTGACGTTTTATGTGTAACATGACCAAAGGACCATTTCTTTTCTGAGTTGACTGAGGGTCTGTGGTCCACTGGACCGAAGAATGGCTACTATTACAATTCAGTAGCATCAATGGCTTTGGTGGCCAATACAATATGTTTGAAAAACAGAGTTGCATAAGCTTGCCTTAGAAATCTGATGGCTTGTTCTTTTGGACTATTATCACCTTAAATTCTTAAGGTCTGTCCATCTTCTTTAAAGTACTCATTTATAGCAAAGTTGTTTCTACTGAAATATCAACCAGGAATTGAATTATAATCCATTTAGACTTTGGGTAAAATCCATGACTTTTTAAAGATTTTTTTTTTTTTTATTGTTCCTTATTCATTTCTCTTTAGGTGATAATGTTTTTTAACAACTTTTTACTTTATCACTGTGATATTCTCGTATAGGATCTATTAGTGAGATTAGAAATTTTAGCAATGCCATGTTCCCTACTTCACAGAAAAATAGCAAGTGATGCAGTTTAATAGAATTTTCCTGAATTTGTGGGAGACCGTCGGAGTTAAATGCTTTGTTTTCCACTGTATTACACTTCTTTTTTTTTTTTTTTTTTTTTATTTTAAAAAAAATTAAAATTAAAAAAAAAAAAAAAAAAAAAAAAAAAAAACTTGCATTCCTTAATCTGAAGAATTAAAAAGGTATGACAGCAAGAATATGCAGTGTGCTTTTTCTGATCAAAATTATATTTCATGGAGTTTAGGCTATTTTATATAATTAAAAGGAACAAATTAGGAAAAATAAGCTAACAAACAATGGCCCCAAAATGGAACAAGTATGTACTGTTTATAATTTATCTAAAATATGTTAAAGAAAACAGATGATTTAAACAAGAGATAAAACTGCTTCACAAATAGACATTATTGCCTCATCCCTGAAGCAAGATTAGCTTTTCCTTTGTATTCTGCAGCCTTTTAAAAGAAAAAGAAACTTAAAACAGACTTGTTAGTTCTCAATGAGTCCTTTGTTGACTATTTGTTTGAGGAGCAAATGCCATAAATACTTGTAGATAGCAATTAGATAGAAAATGACTGTGAAATTTTTTTTCCTTTTTTTTTTTTTTTTTGGCTACAGGTAAAAGAAAGATCTTATCAGAGTCAATTTCTCACCTGCCTCAGGCAAACATAATTGGATGTAAGCAAATTTAATGGAGCTTGTGTGCTCTGGGGCCATTCTGTAATGCTTTAATAATTGCATGCCTTATTAAAGTGAATTTAAGGTATGAAGGCTGTTTAATATATCAAGTGGCAAAGAAGCTAAGATACAGTTTAACTTTTTGCCTCTCAGATTAATAATCAAAGCTAAACTGCAATGAAAATATTAAAAAGTAGCAGATTTAATACTCTGAAGGGTAATGCATTAGCTTGTACACTGTACAGATGTTAATTCAAGAAGCAAATCAGTAACTTGAGCTTGACATTCATCAGAGCTGGCATACATGTACACCCACCTTGTCCTGTTTTCTATTAACTCAGTGCCAGTATTGGCAAGGTAAAGCCTGTCGGTTTATGTAGAAAACACATAATTATGCAAGTAAATGAATATTAGTTTAGTATGTTTCCTTAAATCCACCATTACAAATTAATACCATAAACTTTGCCAGTGGCAAGAGTTTTCTATCTCAAACAGTGTGCTTTTCCAGATGGTATACCAATTGCTCTCACTTGCATGCAATAAGAGTATTGTCAGCAAGACCTCTTCACATGCCTCCTGTAGATCTATAAGTACATTAGCTTGTTTTCCTTTAGAGTGTGTTTTGGATGCTCTAATGATGAGAGAAGAATACTCCACACAAACCTAAGCAATTAAAAAAAAAAAAAAAAAAAAAAAAGGATTGCTCTGTATATCTGTCTGCACTGCCTCTTTTTTGTTGTTGAAGCTGCCTGTGTGATGCATGATATTTTTGTATTTGAAATATATCTCCCTTCAGTGGAAGTCCCAGAAAGTTAGAATGAGGTCATTCAGTAATAGTTAAAATAAAACTAGTTAGAATAATGAGTATTTGGGCACTTGAAGTTCCAGAAATATCCATTGCTTGTGTGAGACAGTGTACTATACCACAATCATAAGATGCAGTTTTGACATCCTTCTGTGGACAAGCTGTGTGGATTAAAACAATAATTAGCTAGTAGAATCTGCATGTGACAGATTCCATTTTTATTCTTGGTAACATTATGTACTGCTTCTAACTATACCAGGTTCTAAAACTTCCACTGCAGCAAAAGCTCTAATACTCAACTTGAAGTGAGAGGAGGAGGAGGAAGAGGAAGGTTATATTTAGAAGGAATTTTAAGGTTCTTCACGGTATGGTCCTCAGTAAAAACTGAGAATAGAGTTTTATCTATTTTTAATTTACTTAAATAATTTAACTATGTCTAATTCTTGCAGAGACAAGAATTGACACGAAAACTTAAGTGCCATTTATACAAAAATTCAGTTCTGTTAGTGCAGTTGAAATTAATTTTATGTCATGAAGTTAGAGCAATTTGTCCTCAACAATTGTAGTTTTCCTTGATGTTTTAAGAGGAATATTTGTTTTCAGTACATTTCTGCAACACAGATTTGGTGCTGAAACAGAGCGTAAGCTCAAACCCTTAAATGCGTATGTGTGTAGAGCCAGTGATACTTTCCTTTCCAGGTTTCTATGTGTTCTTGTCTAAATTGATTCTTCATTTCTGTTCTAGCTTTTGCCCTTTTGCAGGCAGTCTATCAGTTTGCTCTTCCAGAAGTCCCTGTTGATTTATCTGGGAGCTGTGCATCTTAAACATTTTATAAATTGTCTGTGTGGGATGACTTTAATGACAGTGAAACAAATTCAAGCACTTGTTCATGCCACAGAATCAATTTTTAATTCCTTTCTTCTAAGCTTAATAGCACTACAAATGTTCAAAGCACAGAAATTTCAGAATCTTTTATCAAGGAAAGAAGAACTTTTTTAAAAAAAAAATCCCAACTATGGCGGTTTAGCTCTTTTAATGAAATAAAATGTAATAAAATTAAAAAAAAAAATGTTGTAGCTACCAGCTCTAAACTAATTCTCCTCAAAACATTTCAGTATGCCAAAGTTTAAAAACTCTGAAAACAGATTTCTATGAGGAAAACCATACATTAGTAGAAGTACGAAACGAGTTTGTAATGTGTCTGAAGTTCATGGAGATTCCTGAAGGGAAGTTAGTTGGGGCAGTGTTTTCAGCACGCTGAACTATTTGCTATATAACATCTTGTTTTGAAAGATCAGAGAAGAAAAATGGAGTTGAAAACAACGGTTTATCCTTTCTTCTTCCACAATGTCTTCTTAAACTATGAACCTTTTAGACTTTTAAAAGTACATGTGAAAATATTCCACTAATACAAAATTTCTTGACAGAATTACTGAGATTTTTATTTCTGAAACAGTAGAGCTAAGTTGCTTTGAAACCTGAATGTAAATAGAATACAAATAACTTTGTTAAGAACTCACAAGACATTACAGATAAAATTAATATTGCTAGTATGAAGAGTTTTATGAGCTTTTACCTCTTGAATTTTAAAATTTGATGATATCAGATTAACGTAGTTTAGAAAAAAATTGATGAACACTAGGTATAGGATTTTATCTTCAACAATAGTCCTACAGTCTCTGTTCCAACTAGTAAAATTACAGATTGGTTCAGTGTAACTGTAAGAAATAATTTTTGCACCACTATTTCTTAAAACTAATCATTACTTAATCATTATTTACTCAAAATGTGAAAATGGAACTTGATATGTTTTTAATGGCTGTGAAAAAGGCAAGTGGCACCAGGTAGTTCCCCTTCACTATGCTCACTTGGTAGTAACTTAACATCAACAAAATGCCTTTTAGTAACATTTTTTTATAAATCTTTTTCACTGCCAAACAAAGCCCTGAATTTCTGCCCTGGTGTTTATGTTGCTGCAATTCTCTACAACATTTGTCTTGTGACTGTGCACCAGAGTTCTGCAAATGTTGATAGGTTCAAGAATTCTGTTCCTGTCAGTGGATTTGTCAGTAATTGCAGATGGAGTACACATTAATTTGAAATGATTACACAGTTTGTACTATCATGAACTGATTTTATATTAAAACAAAAGTTGAGGTGAAAACAATACTTGTTTTACTGGGTACTGCTAAAAATAGCAAATCTTGCAAAGTGTTTATGTTGTCATGTACTGATCTATCGCAGAGAAATAAAGCCCAACTTACTTTCTTGACAAGATATTATAAATTGACTGATGTAATTCAGTTGGGGAGTTAAAATGCTTTGAAAATAATGGGGCATAACATTCTAGGGTTAACATTTATTCATAGATGATGCAATTAAATAAAGCAGGCATTAACTTCAAGGTCAGTCAGTAAAGTAATAAAAGTGAATATTTTAATTGAATTGTAATTGCTTCCCATTGATACATGCAAGTTAAGTGAAATAGATGTCAGTGCTACAAATTACAGTTCTCTTCCTAACTAATTTATTCATTTTACAACAGTCATCCAGATCCGAACCTTGTTGGTTTATCCATCCATCCAGCTTTCTTCCTGGCTAGCTTTATGGAGAAGTCTGGAGGATGTGGTTAAATTGAATATACTAAGAATTTGCAGTATTTTTTTCCTTTATAGTCTAAGTTGTTTTAAGTGTCTCAATCAATCTACTCCTTCTTCAAAAACAAACAAACAAACAAAAAAAAAAACCATACAAAATAGAAGAATGAATTTACAAGGGCTGCTCCAAAAGTATTACCTCCTATTTTATTATGATGGCCTTCAGTGCCAGAGGGAGATGTTGGTACTATGACAGTAGAGGCTGAATCTTCCCACCAATATTTTGCTATATTTTTTTGCCACATAAAATATGGCAACAAAGCAACAGTCTGATAAAATCACATTGATGAAGTGTGTCTGGAGCAAAGATGTGTCATTGAATTCCTACATGTGAAACATACATCACCCATTTACATTCATAAACACTTGCAGAATGTTTATGGAGATCAAACAGTGGATGTGAGCACAACGAGGCAGTGAGTGGTGCCGCTTCTGCAGTGGTGACCACAGCAATGGATCACTTCCGCAGATTTTAGGGGTGTGGCATGCAGGCTTTTGTTCATCTCTGGCAAAAATGCAGTTAGTGGTGGTGATTGTGTTGAAAAATAATGTTTTGTAGCTGAGAATTTGCTCTATCAAATAGTATTCTTGTGCTCTTGGTATCTGTTACAGTTTCCATGGAAATAAATGGGAGGCATTACCTTCAGAGTGACCAATGTTTATTAACTGCTTGTTAAATATGGTTTGTAAGTATGGTAATATACTTTATTTTACTTTAGCAGTAAGTGTACACTGTGTATGTACACCGTTATTTGCAATTTGAATTTGGATTACTGATTCTGTGAGCTACTGGTTATATTGGTTCTTGATGTCTTTAGCAGATTATTTTCTCACAATGCAAACTTAGTAAAAACTAAAGGAAAATATACTTTTCAAAAGAAGGACAAGCTACCCAAAAAGTAGAATACTATTAAGAAAGAGAAAGGTTACATTGCACTTCTATAGATTTTCATGTAAGTAGGGATAATAATTATTGTAGAGTTTACAAACTGTACACAGGCAATTAATTTGCATTTTCTATGATATTTGTATAATAGTTTCTTTTTACTTGTTACGATTTATTAAATGGGAGCAAACAGTAGAGGAGTATTCTTCTGAAAATCAAAGAGAGATTAGGAGAGAAATAATATATTAGTATGTCTGGATTTAGCAACTTTCCTTTCTGACTTGTTTGTAATGAGAATTTAGTTAAAATTTAAACAAATAGTCCCTCTCCTTAATAAAACTATCTTGGAAAAGTAGTGATATTAATGGAGAATGTTAATCTGGTATTGTGCAGAGTATTATAATATGCTACTCACACCTGTTCCATTAAATTCAAGGACATGATGTTAAGCTAGTATTCATTGGAAGACATCAACAGAGTCATTGCAATTGTTTACTGTAGGCCACATCAGCTTTCACCACAGTGTATACCATAAGTGCATGTGTTCTACAATTAATTAATCATGATATCTGCATGTGCTTCATGATCATTTAAGTTGAGGAGTAAATTTGCTCTGGAGAAAAGGTTCTCCAGCTAAATGATTGTAAGGAGTTTAAAAACAGTGGACAAGCAAACTCATACCTATTAAAGGAAGATATAAGATATTTTTCAAACTGGAGACTGTATGCTGTTGATCTTGTAAATCATTTAATAATATTCATCCCAAATCTTAGGGACAAAACAATACCCAATTTGGGGTTAATCGGTGCTTATAGCCTCATCTGACATGTATGTACACATAGAAGTAGTGTACATTTTGAGAATAAAGGTAGTTTTTAATGAACATTTTTTATTTGTCATTTTGCTCCATTATCTTTTATATGGCAGATTAACAAATATAACCTGCTAGAAATATGCTCTATTGGCCTGATTATACAGTATGGACAATGATGGGATTTTGAAATGTATTTAAAAAAAAAAAAAAAAGCTTTTCAGAGCAAAGTAAGTATATTCAAATGAAGTTATCTTCATTTGATTTGATCAATCTTCAATTGATTTTCACAAGCATAAACAATCATTCTTTTATGTAGCAATGAACATTTTCGTTCTGTTAATGAAGAGCAGTAGATGACTCCCAAGATAAGAACAGAGGTGGAAAAACTGTCCTCCTTCCTTTTAATTATTAAACAGTTTGTAAAGTGTCTCCTCAAATAGTAAGGGAATTTTTAATGCACTTTAATAAAATATTTAAAAAATTTTGTTTTGAAATCTCATTCATTCTATCTTGTTAATTTAGTTTCACTGAAATTTAAATATATCAAGAGCATCATTATAAAAATTAAAAGGCATATCAGCTATTTGAACTCAGCAAAGACTTTATTTAATAGTAAACCATACATTTATATAAAAACTTATATTATCAGTGAGCTAAAGTGCTTTGCAAGGAACATGCTTTAGAAATTACTTCTAAATTTAGACATTCTGCTGGCAGCTCTTTGATTATACCATTATTATATAAAGTAGTATCCTAGGAAGAAATAGACGAGTTTGTGATGAGTACTAGGAAATGTGATCACTTAAAACCTTCCAGTGTACCTTTGCTTTTAGAAGTCATCGTTCTGTTTTTCTTTCTTTGAACGTTAAGACCTTTTGACCACTTACTCAAATCTAACTAGAATATTAATTTGGTTACTCATTGATGAGTGTGTCAGCTCTTGAAATAGGGTTCCTGGGTGTTTTTTTTATCCCAGTGCTGATTACTGCCAATTATTTGTTTTATTCTTAGAAGTGACCATGTAGCAGCCCTAAGCTGGCAAAACTCATAAAGGTAAAAAGTCAAGAAAGAAATTTAGAGAGGCAAGGTATTGGTACTATTAAATGCTAATAAAGATTACTTTTTTTTGTCTAGGAAAAGTAAATCAATACATAAACATCTTACAGAATATTTTGTGATGAGTCAGAAGGCAAAGCATTTCAGATATGCTGTAAATCTGAACTCTCTTTATATCTCCATCATTTCTAATTCTTGCCTTTTTTTGTTAGACATGTATGAGAAGTTTTGTTTTGCTTTGTTTTTTAAGGAAAAGTTTGTCTTTTCCAATAATTTAACATATCTCTTGTAGAAACTACGATAACTTGTATTTTTAACATGTGTAGAAAGGAAACTTTCTAGTTTCCAACTGAACTTCTGGGGTGAGTAGGTAATTTCTGTGTAGATTATCTATTACTGTGAATTCATGTGTTTACTTTGCTGGTTATTGAAAGGGAAGGAAAACAACAGCTTATCTAGTTGGCATGCAGTACAAAAATAATTGGCCTTGTTCATCATGAGCATGATGAATGAAATGAAAACATTTTGCCTGATGGGGATGAAAGAATTCTGACAAAGTAGGATTTCTTTAGGATAGAACTTTTTTTTTAGGTACAGTGGGACAAATTCTGCGGTAGACAAGCTATATTGTTACTTCATAAAACATATTATAACTTTTTTTTTTCTTTTTTTCAGGTTTAGATCCAGATAAGCATCTTGGAAAAACATTGGATCAAATGGAGCCTTATCTTTTGGAGGTATTACTGTTTTACTGAAAAAATACTCATAGGCAAAGTTGTAATTTCAGTGCGATGCTTTAGAAAGTCAGAAAAATTAACAGCAAGTAATGGATGTGACAAGATCATATGTGATATAAAATTTCTCTGTAACTGTCAACATCTGAACATTTTATATCATATTTTATGTAGTCGGAATGCATACAGAAGTGCCTTTCAAATTTGAGTAAGAGCATATACTTGAGCATATACTAAATTCTGTCCATGGGGGTATGTAGTCATCACAGCATATAAATGCTTATAAATGGAGCTAGTATATTTACTTAAAGAAAAGGTGTATAACTAAGAATAAGAAGACCAGATTTTGTACATCATCTTTGAGTTTGAAGTAGAAAAATCAAGTATTGAGCTATGTGCAATCTGTGAATAATTGTCCTGGAAGTGTGGTTTTGTATGTTGTCTGTGACAAAATAAGCTTACTCTTTTGTTGTCCTCAAGCAAATTGGCAACCCTGTCCAGGTTTAAACTGAGACAGAGTTGATTTTATTCAGTGTCTGGTATGAGGCCATGTTGTTTTGACTTCAGGAGAAAGACAAGTTTGATAACACAGTGATCTTTTAGTAATTGCTGAGCAGGTGCTGTAAAGAGTCAAAGACTCAGAGGGTTACAGAATTTTCCAAGTTTGAAGGGCCCATGAGGATCATCAAGTCTAACTCCTGGCTCCACACAGGACCACCCAAAATCCAGACCCTATTTCTGAGAGTGTTCTCCAAATGCTTCTTTAACTCTGGCAGGTTGGTGTCTAACCCACTGCCTAGGATACCATTTTCAGTGCCTGAGCACCCTCTGGTGAAGTACCTTCTCCTAATACCCAATCTGAATCTCACCTGCCTTGCCAGCAAGGGGAGTAGAAGGAGCTGGGAGAGGACAGAACTAGGACATGTGACTCAAACTGACCAAAGGAATGTGCCATACCATATGGCATCATGATGAACAATAAAGGTGTGGAGAGTTGAGGGGGCAGCAGCTGCTGAGGCGTACTGGCTGGCCAGCAGTCAACAAATGCTGAGAAACTGCATGGTGCATCAATTGTTTTCGGGAGGGAAAAAAAAATTAGTCATTACTATTTTTCCTTCTCTTTTTAGTATGTAGTTTTGCTCACTGCCAACTCCCAGTGGAATGAGGGAGGGCTTTGGGAAGAAAAGCATAGAGCTCATGGGCTGAGTATTTGTAACTGTTTATTGGATCATTGTCAGGGAGACTGCAGAACTGATCCCTGTGCAGTTTCCTCTGTGTTGCATGCTATGAAAGTCAAAGTACAAGTAAATTGCCTTTTCTGGATGTTTTGTTGGATTTAAGGAGTGATAAAAACAAATCAGTAACTATAAACTGCAGAGGTTTCTGATTTGAAAAATTGCTATGCAACCCAATGAAGTGTTCAATATCAGAAATCCTGGTAGACAGAATGTGAGAGTGAGGTGCTTACAATTTACAGGAAGGAGGAGAAACAAATTTTATTGTTCTGATCAGTGTCAATGTTAATTAAAAGAGAAAAAGAGCTCTGATTTCATTCATGGAATTATTTAACTTCGGGGAGAAATAAATTGCTGCCTAAATTTTCAGTCTTCTGATTGTATTGAGTGGGGGAAAAAAAGTGAAGTATTAGGTGGGAAGAACTTTAAATTAGATTTGCAATATTTTTCTCATTCCATGCAGGAGGTTGAGTTTGTAAGTACAATAATGATCTGCTATCTATGTTTTTATCATGAGTATTGGTTCAGGACAATGGCAAGAAAAGTTCCTGAATTTTTTTCTAAATTATAAGACCTTAGTTACTGAGGAATGGTTGCTACATAATTACTAATTTTTTTTATTTTTTTTTTTTGTATGACTATTTCTTGCATACCAAGAGCCCTAGCTTTTTACACTGAAGTATTTTTGGCAACCTGCCAAATCTCTGAGGCTGTTCGCCCTCTCCTTGGAATTTATTAATAGAATGCTAAATGTATATCATGGTAATATTTGTCTGTACTTCTGTCCCTATTAATAGAAATAATTTTTTAGTCATTTGTGTACTTGCCTTATAACTTGATGAGTAATTCTGAATGTAAAGAGCATTTCTATAGTTACGTAGAATTTCTGAATTGGGAAAAAAGTCTACACTTGGACAGGAAGCACTGGAATTCATTTATTCTATCTTATATCACTCAACTTCAGTCACAAAAGTCAGCTTTTCTCTTTGTCTGTTGTACCCAAAGTTAGAAGGGGCCATTCTTTGGTAAAGTTTGGATTCTTCTTCCATACACCCTTTGTCTGACTGTGTGTTTGAGTTAAGATGAATAGCCTGGAAGTTAATTTCTTCATTATATTTCTTATAGATTTTGAATTGGACTTGTATGTTTAGTTGTGCAATTTTTAATTTTCTGGCTCATTTGAGACCAGTCTTAGCAATCACAAAATTTATATTAGAGTCTATGTTGTTAGTTAGGAATATAACTTACAGCTTGCAAAACAAAATATATTAGTCTTGAAAAAATGTTAGTTTTCTAAATGATCAGAAGACAAGTTTCTGTTGTCATTGATAACATCTTTAAAATACCACTCACTTGTGAAATGCATTGAATGTCTGTTCTGTAAGAGCTGTCGAATGTCCTCAATTCCTGTTGACATTAGTGGGAACTGCAAAAATCTTTAGCGCCCAGTGTAATTGCTGACAAGCATGATCTTAAAGCCAGTAACACTGAAAAAGTGGATTTTCCATCACAAATACAATAAACTGTCTTTCACTTTCTGAGTATTTGGTATTGCCTCTAATTATTACAGGTACTAATATTCACAAGCAGAACTACCAATTTTTAAAGTGACGACTTTTCATAATGGAAAAAATTACTGTTAGAAAGATCTTCTCCAGGTTTCTCTTTTTCATTTTATATTACGATTTTGTTTTGAGGGCTTCATTTATTTGTTTATTTTATGGAAGCTCCAAGAAGAAGAATAAAAGGTTTTGACTAAGTGTTTTGTAGATTGTCCATTCTTATTGCATCAACATTAATTATTCTTGATGTATTTGTCCTGTAGAAATCTTTTTGCTGTTGTTGACAGAATACATTCTTTCTTGTGTCAGAGGTGTAATTTATAAAGAGCATTTGATTAAAGGTTTTCTTCTGTTCATTTTCTTTTTAAGAAAATACTTAAGGGAAAATGAAAAATGTCTCCAATAGTAATATATTAAAAAAAATGATGTAACATTTCTTACAAAGGAGACTTAGATTTTCCACTACAAGAACCCTTAAACCACAAGGTCACATAGAGTATTATCAAGGTATTGTTTTCTCAGATTGTTATCCTTTTCTTCAATAATATAAAAAAATTGAAGAGGACTTAGGCCTTTTGTTTAACTAACTGAATTTAAATAAATGCGTTATAACCAGGATCGGAATTTTTCCTGCAGGGAGATGGGGGTGGGGGGTCTGTGCTTATAGCATGATGCAGTTGCTTGATTACTACCTACTGACACAGTAAATGTAGAATTAGAATGAACTGTTCAGCAATTGCATTCTTCTTACTCAGACAAACGAACTTTGGTTCATGCTCTACAGTCACTGATGTTAATCATGTCTCTTATTTGAAATTTACTGAATTATGCAATTATCTGTTTTAGTGTGATTCCCAGAGCTTCAGGAATATTTACAAATATATCAACTTAGAGACCATAGTTAGTATGATAAGGAATGGAAGCAACAAATTCAGTTTTTGCTTTTCCTTTTTGCTTTTGACTTGGAAAGTTCAATTCATGAGAATTTTTGAGAACAAGATAGTTATTTACAAGAGTATGGAAGTGGTTGTTAACTATTGCCAGAAATTTTATTTGTTGTACACTGCTATGTAAAGTGCTACATCTTGTATTGATTTACAGCACAAGCTTCTCGCAGAAGTGAACTATCTCTGCCAAAGGGAGAGAACCAGATTTGTGTGCCTGAACAAACTTTCTAGTCTCTTGTGGAAGAATAATCAGGATTTGATTTGTTTATTTGAATACTGCAGTACCAATTCTACTTAAAATATATCACAAATTATATTTATTGGTATTTCATAGATCATTGTGATACAAAGAAATCAAGAATCTTTTGTGTGATATTTGAGGGTCTTTTTTATTATTTTAATGAGTGGCCTTTTAGAAGGTACAAACTGAATTTATCAGCAAAATCTATTTTTAGTGCTCTACTGTAATACCTGTATGTTTACATTTTTCTTTTGCGTTAGGTTTCTGAGAAATATGGTGTCCACATTTGCGGAGAAGGTGGAGAATATGAAACATTCACTCTGGACTGCCCTCTATTTAAGAAGAAAATAGTTGTGTAAGGAATAGTTTCTTCCATTTCCTTATATTAAAGCAATGAGAGCATTTTCACATTTAGCTTGAGGCAGCTTTTGTTGGCAGAGTGAAAAACACATCCTCTAAGTTCACAAATACTCACTTTGTTTAACACTGGCCAAGTCCTCTGAAAACCTAAATCAATACCTGACAAGACGAGGCCTTCATAGAAAGCTATAAACTTCTTAGACATTTGCACTTTCGTTTACTTGCTGATTATGGCCTGCAGTAAAACTGGTACCTGCACACTGACACTTTTATCCTTTCATGAAGTGTGAATTGCCTGTAATATTTATCTTTCATTACAGCTACATTTGATAAACTGCCACATCAGTAGCCTGTGGGTTCCATTAACTCCGTGTGTGTGTGCGCAAGTGAGTGTGTGTAAGTTTAGCAGCTTAGAATGATAACGAAAACATTTTTCTTCCATTATTAGAGGATATTTTAAATATAAACATAGGATGAATCCATCTAGTATTTACTGAGTAGCTTATTCTTTTGAAATAAATTGCTGAAATCTGTGTAGTGGGATATGAATAATGTTTGACTCTTGTTGTAAGTTTCTTTTTAGTCTGTTAAATAGCTAAGTTTGCTTGCTTTGAGTGAGATGTTTTGACTGATGTTCCTTTTCTTAGCCAAGTAAACAGATTAGTAATCACGTACTGATGATGGTCGTCTTATGGAAGGTCATGATTATTGTTCATATATGGTAAAGCTTCCACAGTGAAGATCTATTTGTTTCATTTTTCCATACCACTGGTATCTGTATAGAGCTGAGAACCAGCAACTGTTCGACTTTCATTGCAGGGACAGGAAGAGCAATAGATAAAATGTGGAAAGGTTTAGAAGCTGCTATAGTGAAAGTATGCTGAGGTGAAATATTGGTTGACTGCATGATATGTCCTACGTAGTCAACTAAAAAAACTAGATAATTTGAGTCTGGAGATATTCATTTTTACATTTAACGTCTCATACGATTTCTACTGAAGTGATAAAGTCTTATCAATTCCAGTGGGTATCAGAGACAGAATTCTGAGAAACTGTCATTTTGTTTGAGAAATAATACCCATTACCAGCTGTGGCCTGTTCAGTATTTGTATTGCAACACTTGCAACAAAATGTATACTTTAGAAGAAGGTGGCTAGGTTATAACTGACAAATGAAATACACTTGTTTAAGTTTTTGGCTTACATTTGTTTAGTTTATTGTTTACATTATTAACTATATTTTGTTTCCGATTAAACCTGGGTATTCCGTTAGAATTGGATATACAATTCCCCAGTATTCCTTTAGAAAGATCCTTAGAAAAGGTGTCCTTTTGCACACCTGAAATAGATTAAACAGTTACTCAAGCTAGTTCTGAATGTACATTTCTATAGTCCAAACTGAATAGGTACACTGACATTTTGTTTCTCAGGCTTAATTAGGACTGCTTAGCTCTCTCCTACTTTGTCATAAAAGCATACCTTTTAAGGGCCATTCATGTAAAAATCTATTATAAGCTTTTACAATAATATTTGTAGTTTCTTTTTCATTAAACATTGCTGATAATCATTTGTTATTTATGAGTTGTTTTTACAACTTTACTTAGTTTTTATTTTTGTTTCTCATATTCACTGGGTGAATCAAAACGGACTATGTAATCATGTTGTTAGGCTGGTAGTTTCCAGATGTTTAAATAGCCATGGTTGTGATATACATCCTGATATTATTTTTAAGCTTAAATGGCATTGTAAGAATTACAAGCTAGAGGTTAAATAAAACCTGTACAAATTTTTTCAAGCTTCCTAAATTCCTTAGAAACATTTTGCTAGTGTAAGTCTCTGTGGAAGACATTGGAGATTATTCTTTCCTGTATAACAGTTACAGTGTATTAACTTTGGATGGCTGGCAAATGCTCACCAAGGTACCTCTCACTTTGCAGGGGAAAAAAATAAGGTGCAAAAGCTTATGCGTCAAAATAAGGGTGGAAGGATGGCTTAGTTGAGACCATCATGGGCAAAACGGTCTTGATTTGGGAAAGGGTAATGAACTGCACCAGTGAGCTGCTCAATTAAAATTAATAGGTTGCAGCTCCAGCCAGGAACCCGCTCCTGCGTTGGCTCTCCACAAGCTATGGCCTTTCTCAGGCCACATTCAACTGCTCCTGCACAGACTCATCTCTACGGTCTGCACGTGGAGATTTGCTCTGTCTGCTATCTCTGCAGCTGCAGGGGAGCAACCTGCTCCACTGTGAGTTTACAGGGTACTTCTGTTCTGCATCTGGAGCACTTTCTGACCTCCTTCTGTGCTGATCTTGGTGGCTGCAGGGCTGTTTTTCTCACATGTCTTTTCTCACTCCTCTCTCACAGCTGCTGTTCAGTATTTTTTATCCTTTCTTAAATGAGTTATTCAGAGGATCTACTTGTGTAGCTAATGGGCTCAGCTTTGGCCAGTAATAGGGTCCCTTTTGGAGCCAGCTGGAACTGGGGACAGTTCAGTTCTCACAAAAGGCATTCCTGCATCTTCTCACATTAAAACCTTATCTAATATGCCCATAATTTACAATGTTACTTTTGGGTAGCATTTTCACTGATTACTGCTTTTGTCACACGAAACTTGTGACTGTGTTTTCACATTGTCATCTTTGAAAAAGGAAATCTGCTCTATCAGGAAGAAAATAACCTTTATATGTCAGTTATGGAGAAGTGGGAGTTGTTTTAATGTACGAATATGTGGTTAATTTTGCTTTTGAATATTAAATTCAGTCTTGCAAAACCATTCAATTTTCATTTAAAGACACGCCTTGCAAACCAAGAATGCCAAATTGACTAAAATATTTGAAAATGAACAATATTTAGTGGAGAAACAAAGATCTTCCAGTAGAAATACTCAACCAGGAGTCAGATGGGTTTTACCTGGTTTTACCAGAATGTCTGTTGTCATCTTTCTTATGCTCAATATTTAAGAGATACCAAGCATTTCCTATCTGGCATTACACTCAAATATGTAGTGCAATTGATTGACACCTCTAGAAATCATATAGTTCTTGTCTATGTGAGGGCTATCTATTGTCTAATGTTATGATAAAGGTCCATTAGTATGTATGGAATGCAGAATGCTTCAATTTGTTTTCTTTCTAAGTTAAATTGATATGTTGAAAATGTTTTGGAAGTATAATTCTACAGATTGCTTTGTCATTAGCCCTGTGATTAGGTTTAGATTCAAAACTAAATATGTAAACTTGAGAAAAAAAATGACAAAGAAGACTTGCCCTAATGTGTATTTATTTTGTGAAAATATTATTCTGTTTTAAAGTAATTTCCCAGGTATTCAAGGTGATTTGAGGGATCAGACAATTAGGACAGTTTTTCAAACTATTATTTTTGTTGTTCTCTAAAGTCTTCTGAAAATGTTCCTTAACAAAATTCCTCTTCTTCTGTCACAATGTGGTTATGTTCCTAAGGAAAACTATGACTTTCAGTATGAGATGGACTTCTCTTACGATTTTCAGAACCTCTCAAGTGACTGTTTTTTTATGTTAAGCTCTCTGCTATTGACATTGTTTAATTATTTACTTACATCTTTTACTATCTCCTAAGCTATACATAACGTCCAAGTTAAGGGCTTCCTGTGTTTTGGAATGATGACTTCTTATTGATAACAAAACTCTTACAGTTTCCACGTTTGTTACGTTTAGTATTGAATAATACAGTACATTTTATCAGTTAAAACAAATATGTATGTTCTGAGAGGCTGACAAAAAATGATTTAATTGGAGAAGAATATTTTATATATCTTGTAATACTACTTTCAGAACCACGTAATCTACCTATTTTGAGCCATCAATTGAGAAATATTAGCACTTTAAACCAAATACCTGCTGTGGTGCCATGCATGTGTTAACTGTCTGTTTCAGGAATGCATTTCATTCTTAGTAGAAATGTTACTGTTTATATTACTTCTTGAGCAACAAATCTAAAAAGTTCCACAGTTGTAGAACTGCTAGCACAAGCATCATTGGTTAGCATGCATGCTGCGCTGTTGAATTGGTACATGTGGGGATATGGCTTCTTTTACTTTGTAATATTTTTTAGAAGTATACTTCTTAGTATTTTTTAAGTATTTTTTATAAGTTACTAGGCATTTAAATTGTACAAAATTGTACACTGAACAACCCTAAAATATTATTTTTAACTTTGAACATAAGCTTTTCTGAAATTTCAAGTAACTACTGCATCACTCAGTGGTACTGGACTTCCCCATTGCTGTTGTTCCCTTCAACAGCAAGCAGTGGTTATTAAGATATTATCTTCAGACACTGGAGATACACAGATACCAGATATCATTGCTATATCAAAGTATGTTTTTATGATCAACGTGCTCCTATACTAAAAATTTCCAAAGTGAGATTCTACCCACTTACAAAATTCCTATTTGAATTAGTAGGCACTGTGACCATTTGAAAAAAAATTACTTTAATCTTAAGGGACTATCTTTAAGAAGTCCTAAAAGAATGTGATATTTCAATCTTAAAAGTCTTGGTAGTAACTCTCAAGAATGAAGCTATAGACTTGATCATAAAGAAATTAAAACTTATTAAAAGTGAAGTAGAATTTTTTTATGCTAAAGGTGCATTGTACAATATAGTGATGGTGATTGCATTAAGGAGTTTTGATTTTAAATCCTAAGCCACATTTTAGAAAGCAGATATTTCTGTTAATTTTACACTTTCATTAAATCAGTGGAATATAGGCAACTTCAACTGTTTCCAGTATGCATGTAGCATTACCAGAAATCTTGTTTGGAATCCCCAGGCCAAACTCATTGAATTCTGTGAAGTTTTAACAGCACTGTGACTTCAAGAAAATTATCTGTATGTCTTCAGCATTTCTTATAGGAATTTTCAGGTTTTCTTGTAAGGCATCTGAGATTCTCACTTTCTGATGTTTATTTCCTAGAGTTACCTTTTGCTTAAGTAGTAAAGCCATGCAGATGGCTAGAACAGATAAAGCCTCTTTTGAATCAAAACATGACAGATTGTGTCTGTAAAAATAAAAGCTACAATTAACTAATTTGAATCAGCACACAGTAAGTTTATCATTGCTACCAACACATTTGGCATTAAAAAGTTGTGTCTAGTAGTCTTCAGTATAAGATGCAAGATGGTCAAATCAGTCAATTTCTCAGCATGAAATATTGCATGGTGTTAATACTTCAAGAACTAGTCCCTGGAGCGTAATGATGAAAAATAGACTTTCAAAAATCTCACATTGATAAAATGAAAAGATTGCATTACTTATTAGTCTCTGGAATGCAAAATGTAATGTCAGTTATGATTGCATAGGCGTTATCTAGCTAAATATCTTTATTCTGATCTGGAATTATAAATTATTCCTTTTGAAAATTAGTGAAGATAGCGTGATGTTCAACAGAACGATTTTATATAGCAAAAACTTTCTTCATTGTTAAAAAAAAAAAAAAAAAAGATTCTCAACTGGTTATCTTGTACATTTATATGATTCTGATAACTTTGCATTTCAGAGATTCTGCAAAAGTGGTTATGCATTCAGCTGATGCATTTGCACCTGTGGCCTACCTTCATTTTCTGGAAATGCACCTGGAGGATAAGGCAAGTAAATTCCAAATGTCATCTCCCTTTAAAGCTATATGCATGGTTTTTTGTGTTGCATTGTCATAGTTTGAAGGTAAGTTACATCTTCTTATTTGTGTTCTTTGAAATAAAGATGTGTATATTTAGTTGAATTTCAGAACATCGTATATGAAAAACTCAATATAAAAGCTTGCTTATTGAATGAATGAATGAATGAATGAATGAAGGAATGAATGAAGGTAATATATCTGTGTAGCATTTTTTTCATTTTGAAACCTTAAGATATTCAAACAGCATGGTGCAGTCAAGTAGATACATAACCCGCATCATACAGCCAGCCACAGAGTAGAATGCATCTGTACTAGGAACTGTAAGAAGAGTGTTGATTTGCTTGGATCTCTTCATGCTGTTTCTGTTGTGGAGCGGATGATGCTAAAACCTGAGCCCCTAGTGCTCAAGTATTAAACATGCTGCTTGTTTAATCTTTTCTGTATGGAAGTTACATCTAATGATTGACTTTAAAGCGTTGTAGAGAAGATATCCTGATCAATGAGCTTGAAAGAATTGTCAGTAATTAACAGGGATTCCTTCAATAGTTCCTGATTCAATGGAATATGGAAAACAAGAATAGGAACTCCTGTGATTTGGATGTTGCAAAATTATACGTGAGCTAAGAAAATCAGATGAGAAAGTACTTTTTCTAGTTTTTGTTATATATACCTATTCATATCTATATACACTTTTCTATTTTTCTCTTCATTATTTTGCAGGTAAAATATGTTTTTCTTACTCCTTAACATTTTTAAGTGCTTCAACTTTGTTGAAGATGATCTTCCTGCCACTACTGCAGTCATCTTTTTTTAGTTCTTCCCATTTCTTTCTATGCTTTGCCAATCACTGAACTTCTTCCGGTTGAAGGGATTGTTATTGAATGTTATTACAATTATTACAGTTTCATTTACATCTCATCTCTCTTAAGGGATGTTTCTTTTCTTTTTCTTTTTTTTTTTTCCTATGCACAATACCTTTTCTAATCTTATCATTCCATGCAGATAAAATCTATACTTTTTTTCTTGTATGGTAACCTCACTGTTCCCATAAAAAGTAAATTGAATTTTATCCTTCTTGTTTCTAATTTGAGACTTCTTTCAGATATAAAATGGTAAGTATATGTGAGGAGAATCTGAATGTCTGCTAACTACATGAAATAAACCCAAATAGGCTGAATAATTGAAAATCTGGACACATGTGGTGGGGTCTACATTATGACATTAATATTTCTTTGGGGGTCCTGACTTTTCTTGCTTATGGCACACTTAATGCTAAAATGCGTCATATATCACTAAAAAGTGGCAGGCTAGGGAAAATGAAGAACACAAAGGTTTACATAAATCAGGAAAAAGTTATATTAAAATGCATAATATTTTATATTGGAATCAAGATATTTTCTTTTATTTGAATGGAAGCTCTTTTCCCCTTCTTATTGTTGATTTATGTTTTAGATTTGATTAAAGCCTCACAGTTTCAGGCACTATTGTAATAAGTCTTATTTCACATTCCTTGTAGACAAAGCTGTCACACTTCTAGAGAAGGAAGGTTTATTCTGGATTTTGGTATATGAACTAATGTCTTGTAGAATTAAAAGAAAAATAGTCTTTTTGTGCCATCTCTGTGTCATGAGGAAGAGCATTAGAATCTTTTGGCTATAGTTTAATTTTGTGTCATGTTAAAATAAGCTGGGTTTTCAAGAAGATATGAATATGAAGAGCCAGTCAGTCCTTCAGAGCACAACATGTTACTAGGCACAGTTCAACTGTGTAATGACAGAGAGGCCTTTAAGATTAATATGCCTGTAGCACTGTACTTTTTCTCACTCCTTCATGCTTTACAAGCCCTACAAAACATGTTAAGTATCAGTTAGTAGTTCAGCGGTTGAAAGCCAGTCCTGCAATAACAAATCATTGCAGAGGAGAAAAAAAAAACGGTTTTAGTTACAGACTTTCCAAAGATTACTGAAATTTGAGCAAAAATTCTCAACAATGAGAATAAACAGTGTATAACTTATGTAATCTCGTTGTTTGCAGTTGGAACAGTTGGAAACTGTTAATAGACTGCACAGTGATGTGTAGTTCTAGTAAGCATCATGACATCCGTTTTGTTATCATTTCAGCTGAGCTGTGTATTTTTAATTTTTATTTTGTATTCAATTTATCTTAGTTATATGCCACAGATGTTAATTTTACATTCTTTGAATTTACCTTATTATTGTTATGCACTTATTATGCTAGTGTACCTTAGCCTCTGCTGTCTTTCCTTCTCTAGAATGTATTTTCTTCAGATAAATCCCTTCTTGTTTAACTACAGAGCTTGGAACTACAGAGCTTGGGTAGAAATTTGTTTTAGATTGTTTCTGTCAGCAAAATGAGCCCCCGTGCCTGGGGGAAAATAACATCTTGCTTACTGTTCTGATTTAATATGCTACTGTGAAACCTCAAGATGCATTCTTGTATAATATTTGAAACTTTTTTCTTTTTACCTCCTTTTTTTCTTTCATTAACAGTGACAACAAAACAGATAAAGAGATAATTAGATTTTATTACTAGAACACTGTTAGAAGTTTGGCAAAAAAAAACAGCTTAAAACTTTTTTTCAAAGGTATTCTACAAAGACATTAGGAATAAATAATGCCAATAAACCACTCATGCTTAAAATTCATGATTGCTTCATTTACTTCATTGTGGGGAAAAAAAAGTCACTATTGTGATGTACATAAAGCAGATACCTAGCTTCATTGCTATTTTACTTTTCCAGTAACTCTGTGACTTTGCATATTTAAATTGTAAGATGTTCTTTGCTGAGGGGAAGCAATTTCTCTAGCATTTTCTAGTACCTCTAAATCAAATTTATCAGATTTTTTTATGCAATAGAAATATAATTGTAATATTTTTCAATTAGGGCAAAATATAACTGTTTAAAATTGCAAGTTTTTTTAATTGACAGCAAATTGAATTTTGAAAACCTTTTTATTTGCCCCATTTCGTACTGTTCTGTTACTATGTTGAACTATTTTGATTTTGAATGATCAGAAACAGAAATGAAAGCTTTTTATGTGATAATTCTTTCTGAGCATATTTCTGGTAATTGTAGTGAATATATTAACTACCAGTCATGCTTTAAGATTTGCTCTTTGTCACATTTAATAATGAGTGCTCTGTTCCCTGAGTCCCAGTGTGTAGGAATACGTATACATAAAACAATACCAGCTGTCAAACTGCAGTCCCTTAGGTTAGAGTTAGTCCAGGATTAGAAAGAATCACATAGCTTTCTACCTACACTTAGCAGAAGAAATGGAATCTGATTACCTGCAACAGATAAAGGTGACATGTTTGATGCTGTACTTCCTTGACGCGTAGTATTGCATTGTATTTACCTACCATGAAATGATATTCATTTTTCTGTATCTGGGTGGAACATGCTGCTGAAATGCAAGCAGTTGTGCCTCTGTTAAACATCAGCAAATCAATTTCACAAGCTAATTTAGAGATTAATTTTAAAATATTTGTAAAAGTCAGGAATGGTGTTTGGTAGATATGTACCTGCCTCTTGTACTAAAGGAGCATAATCCTGTAGCTTAGCTTTGATTTAACTTTGTGGCCTGTTTCTGTCCAGTTTCTTCTACCTGAATTATTTTAATCTATCTCCACCTAAGACTTTAGGTATTAGACTTTGTAATTGGTGTTAAGGAGCACAGGAGGGAATTTCACTGTATTGGTAGTTGCATTTTTTTCAATACTTTGCCATCACTTAGTGATATTTCTCCTAGGTAACCTTTTATTTCCCTTCTACATCATAAAAATATGGGAAACTGCAGTTTGTAACAACTTCACAAACTTTATAACAAATAATTGCAGACATATTTTCATTGTACATTGATCTATTTCAAACAGTAGGATAATAAATCAAGGATTTTCCTTCATGCTTCATTTGGTTGCAGACTAAGTCCAATTCTCTGAAAAAAGATTTTTTGAGAGGTCTCTTTATTATTTTAAAATCTTTCAGAGTAAAGGACATTCTTTCCTGTGTGTCTATATACTATACTTGAAATACTGCAAGGAGGTGTACACGGTCTCCCTCATTATATTTATTTCAAAGAGTTATGTTATCAAGGTAAGCTGCAAAGAATAGATTATCACAGTCCTCGTACATCTTATGTCTCATGAGCTCTCTACGATCCTATATTTTCATTGTTGCTTAGTGAGAAACCTTCAATTTTGGAATTTTGTTGTGATGGGTTTTTATACCAGTTTCTATGGTGGCAAATGTAAGCTTTTTAAGAAGGCAATCTGTTGTTTTCATAAAAGACCACTACATGGAATTTCAGCTGTATCAGTCAGAGTCCTAGTTCCAAGGCTTTTTCAACCAGAGAATTTGGATCTTGGAACACTTGTGCGTTTGCTTAACTTCATTCTGAGTGTGCTTACATCAATGACAAGAGTTATGTGAATATAGTTAACCATATGCATGTATGCAGGCTCTGATCCAGAATTAGTTTGGTATCACAATGTACAGTGGGTGAGGGAGAAACAGTCTACACAAATGGGAAAATATATTGCTTTTGTGAAGTAAAATGAAAATGTTATGTGGTAAAATAGGTTCTGTAAGATTTAATTAAAATGTCATTATAGCAAGCTTGTTCTTTTTTTTTTTTTTTAATAATGACAATGTTAGTCAAAGAAAATCTGTTTGTGGCAGTCTGTAACTTTTGGGATTTATGTCCTTAGGTTATGTTTTCTATTGACAGCAGTAGAAAACCAACATTTGTATGAGATTTGAATATAACTACTCAACATAGTCTCGCAATTCTTCTTATGCTGGAATTGAGCCTGTTGTTCTTGTGCCAGATTCCACACCTAATACTTCTGCTGAAGCCTACACCTGTACTGCTGTTGAATATGATGGATTAGCAATGTTTTTGGAGCATTGTGGAAGTCATCCTTGATTGAATCATTGTGATATATTGTAGATATATTGAAATCAGTGGTAGCCTATAATTATTTTTATAGTCTTTGATGTATGTAAGAAACCTCGTAGAATTTCTAGGATGTGGTAATTTCCCAATTTAAAAAAATTTTGTAGCTGACTGGCTGCTTGTGTGTGTGTGTAAACATATATGATTTTATTTATATCTGTGAAGCAATATTGATATGATCACTTACAAAATATTGAAAAGTTTAGAAAAAAAGGATCTGGCAGTGGATTATCTGAAAATTGAGTATGTCACACATTTGAGTTATTTGTTATTATTACAGTGCTACACAGGAGTGTACACAGGTTATAATTGTAATAAGTTGTAATAAAGTTTGTAAGTCTTACTACAGGTCCATGAATTTTTTTATGATGCACATTTACAGAAAAGATGTTTAGAAACATAGTTGAAAGAACAGTCTTCACAGGTGGCTTGAAAATTGAATAGGTGCTCTTTTAACATTCTGTTGCATTGTGTCATAAATTCAATCCACCTGGTTAGGTAACAGAAGTTACAGATATCTAACAATACTTGTACAAGATATCTTCCTCTCTAGATTTCTCAGAAGGTATTTATGTAAAGCTTAACAAAATCAGGAAACATAGTGGCTGACATTGGCAAGCTGGAACTTCTCCCTTTCTTATCAGCATATTTTTATCCTAATAATGGTTTGTTAACCATTTAAATTCAATATAATGTTATTGAAGTTAAAATCCAAAAATCTAAAAAAGGAAGCAAATAATGAGGAAACAAAAAACAGCACAGCATTGTCATAGGGTCATTCATGTAATTGTGCATACTGAAAGGCTATTACCAAGTGATGTGTATATTGCATTTGTACTCTCTGAATGTCCATGCTCTAGTTCTAGTTGTTTGTTTCATGCTGGTCTTTACAACTTTGCCAGCATAAGTGACTAACTCAAAAAAACGTACCATTTGCAAGAAGGATGTGGTAGCACTTTTAGAACTTGATGCAACTTAGCATATGTATATTTCTGTGAAGAGCTGTGTTGTGGAAATTTTATTATTTCCTTTATCTTGATTGTTGGAGCACAGTCAAACTTGAGATCTAATTCAATTACAGATTTACGTTCCTTCATTTTTATTCTGTAGGTCACAACTGAATATCTAGTTGGCTGTCAGGTGCTCCCTAGGTGATGGCAAAATATTTTAACTGGTGGCAGTAGTCAAAGGTGTAATTCAGTGAATGGGAAGTGGTGCAGATGCTGTTAGAAACTTGTGTATTGTAATGTTTGTAATCACATAGCATTTGTGATAAGTTGCAGTTTTCATCTTTGTGCTACGATGTTACTTCTAGTTGACTTCTTTTGACCTCTCATGTACCAGTGATATACATATGGTAGATTATTCCCCTGACTTTCATGCTTTTCTAGGACGAATTAATAGAATGAGGTCCAATGAAAGATCATCAGCCCTTCCACCAGCATAGTTTTAGAGTTTGCAGCACTTAAAAAATTCCCCTTGAGCCCTGTTAGAGGCAGCAGAACTGAGTTTCCTCTCAGAGTAAAGACATTTTTGTAATATGGGCTTTCCTAAAAATTTCCAAAACCCTATTTTCACTTAACTTTTTCACTTAACTGTGAAACATCAATGTAAATATTGAGCTCTCAGACTTCTGATAAGTATTATCAGAAGTATTATCAGAGCTTGTGCCTTTTTGTTTTTATTACTTTTGCTTAATATCAAGAGAGCTGTTAAAGTTACTACTAGATATGTTTTGTTTTCCAAAGGAAATAAAAAAAATATAAAATGACTTATTGTCTGAAAATTTTTATATTTGGAATTGATTAGTAACCTTTAATATAGCCCATTATTTGACAGCTTGGTTTGATCTAATTCTTGAAAAACAGAGAATGCAGAGGGTCACGCTTTGGGTGACCTTACTTCATATAACTTATGCACTTGTGTGCTTTGCTGTATAATATTAATGTTCTTTTTGCATAGAAGTTTCATATTCAGTACAATTAATTTGTGGGCTAAAACAGTGTTCGGCAGTTTTTAATCCTCATGTAAGGCTTCATATTTTGTCACCTTTTGACCTGCTCTATTAGGCTTTATCATGATTTTGTGAATTTATTTCAGAAGTTTGCAAAAAGAAAATACATTGCTCAGATACTGTATAAAAGAAAAGATCTTTGAATAGTATCTGGAGCTGCAGCATGCAGTGTCATTTGCTTGAGGTTCATGGACAAATTCAGTCATAATTCATTTTCTTTTTAGATCAAGACAAGTAGTGTTTGCCAAGCTAGTGATACCAAAGTCGGCATCTCTTGCAGATTAGGCTGCATTGGAAATTAAGATGAAAGAGAGTAGTTGGGTTCTGACTGTTGATCTAAACATAAAAATAGATACACGTGTATGCTGTAATCACACAACTTGCTGGTAACAGTGAACACAGTGTTTTGGAAGGCTGATCAGTGTATGCTTTTTGCATTAAAAGGTGCACTGGGTAGTTTTCTTATCCTAGGCCCAGGAAAGCATTTAGAAGCACAGAATCACCAATATTGGAAACAAACCTGTTGCATTGCCTGGGTTTGTTGTGGCCAAAGTGCAGGACCCAGCACTTGGTTATGTTGAACTTCATCCTGTTGGCCTCAGCCCAGCTATCCTGCCGGTCTGGATCCCTTTCTACCCCCTGGCAGATTGATGTTTCAACCCAACTAGATGTCATCTGCAAACTTACTGAGGAAGTTCCTGTTCAGTAAAGATACTGAACAGCACAAGTGCTGATTCTGACCCTTGGTGGGGAATGCCTCTTGTGGCCAGTCAACAGTTGGGTTTAATTCCATTCAACACCACCCTCTGAGCCCAGCTCTCCAGCCACTTCTTTAACCAAAAAAGAGTGTGCTTGTCTAAGTCATGGATTGCCAGCTTCTCTAGGAGAATACTATGGGAGACAGTCTCAAAGGCTTTGCTGAAGTCTACATGGACTACCACTAGATAGATTGTCCACTGTGTGGATAGAATTTAGGAAAAAAAAAGACACCACACATTATTTTTCTTTCTTATCAAAACATTACTCGATGTATAAATTTCGTAAAATGCTGTTTTATTTATCTCAAAATTCTGAGCATTCTAAAGCTTGTTGAGTTTGATTAAGTGGGATAGCCTTTGCATGAGGTGAATGGAACCAAGACAGTGGCTGCATTTACTCAAGATTACGAGACTTACAGGGGCTGCATTTACTCAAGATTTAACAAGGTTTTAAAACTTTTCTTATAGTCTTTTGCACTGTCTGAAGTGTTTACTGACAGTGTTAATGATCAAGTTGCTACTATAACATTTCTGTTCTTTTTTTCCCTTAGTTATTGTATTTTCTGGCAAACATAGCTGTCCTGCAAAATTGTGGAACAGTGTTTCTTCATTATAATATCATCCTCTCTCTTATCTCAAGTTTCATTGTTTCTCATATCTGTTATTGCTTACTAAACCTGGAATTTGATCCCATATGATGTATCAGTGGGAACATATTGTATGCTGTTAATTCTGCAATCTAAACAGTAGGAAAAACTGTTACTGTTTGTTCTTCCATTAATTCTTCTAAGCTTAGGTGCTTGTCAAGCTCAAGTGGTTTTTGTAATTAAAACTGAAAGCTTGAATGATCAAATATGGTTTCATATTGCTTGGTATGGTGTTTACTGGTTTATTTTATAATTCTTTTTTCTCATGCAGGAGAAATCTTCAGATACATTTATGGGCAGTAGCTGCTCTTGTGAAGTAATCTGCAACAACAGTGATAGTTTATCTTCTTTAGAACCGGATGAGCAACAGAATATCAGTCCAATCATCTGGAAGGCTTTGAAACATAATTCTTTGGATTTCAGTGAGTTTTGTGCAACTTTCATTAGGAAAGTAATAGTGAATATTTTATGCACTGCTGGGGAGGGGTGTAGCTGTTAAGACTATAAGACAATTTGTACCCATTAATAGCCACCTCTTTTAAAAAAAAAAAAAAGTCTCCTACTACAATTAAGTTTTTTGGTAGGGAGCAATAAATCTGTGGTAATAAAACTCAAGTTATTTTGCAGAAGAAACATAACCCAATTTTTAGTTTCTTTCTTTCACACATTAATGTTTATAATTTGCCTGAACTAAATTAATATTACTGTCATTACAGTGGAGGGAATTAGTTATTTAGAAGATCATGCCAGTACCTGTATCCTAACTCCATTTTAAACTGAAAGTATAAAAGGAAACTCTAAAATGGGTAATAAAATGCCATGACTTGTCTTGCTTGCCTGGACAGATTGGTGTCTATTCCATTAATAAAAATGTCACCGTGTCATGTGCGTGATCAAGTTTAGCACCCTAACAATTTACTGTCCCTTAGGTGAGCTGCAGAGCAAATCATATGCCTAATAATAGCATTGGCTCAAATGTGAGATGACTAACACAAAATAAACTAGTGTTTTTAGAATGGTGACTTACTGAAGTACCACAACATCACTTTTACTCTAAGCCCAAAGATTAGTAAACTCTGAAAAATAAGTTTCATAGTGTAACAGTGTTTGATTTGGAGTGGTGCATAGGCACTTTTAATGTGGATAAATTCTGGGGATTTTTAAAACAAACAAAACAATAATAACAAAAGCACCTAAACAGATTATGCACTTGCTGCTTATTAGAACCATATTAAATTCTTTTAAAATTTGACAAGTAACTTTGAAAATCTGTTTCTATGTTGGCTGAATAGTTTTGAAAATTGTAACTTTTCAGTATCACTTCTTTAATGTGTCTTTATAAGAACAAGTAGAAAAACTGTAAAAAGTCAGGGGAAAAGAAGTAAAGGAGGAGAGAAAAATTGAAATTCTCAGCTAAATACTACTTATAAGCACATTTTCTGGAGGCAGTGTTGAAGTACTGCTTTGTTTAATGAGTACTGAATGGTAGCTTGGATACCAGCACAGTTGTAGTATTTGATTTATACCTACATTTCTGTAAATAAGTTATGAAGAATTTTTAACAATTTATATTATGTTGTTTTTTTTCCATGGTTCTTCTTACTTAAACAATTTAAAATGTATTCTTGGTTAATGTGACTGTTTTCATCTCTGTAATCATAGTGCTGTTATTAATTTCCCATAGGTAAGACATTCGGAAGTTCAGGGAAATCTGTGACTGGTTACCAGTGGTTTTCATGCATCACTGCACACTTTCATCCATTAAAAGACAAAAATGCTCAAGAGGCAGCAAGGGAAGCATTTTCGGCTCTCCAAGGTGATTTTTTTCAGATAATCCATTATCAGCTCCTAATAATACATTCTCAAATACGGTATAAAAAAAGGAGTCTGTATTGCAATGTGATTTTGTAACTTCAGGTGTTGTGGTTGTCAGTTTGCCACCTCATCTAGTGTTTGATTGGAGTCGTTATTGGCTTTAATACTGAACACACTGTAATTTGGCTGCCAGTGAAGGCCCTAGAAAGCTAGCACAGTGCTCATATCAGTGTGATGCTATTTCCATAGTACTTATCATGTGTGAGAGTACATGTGTGCTGTTGATGCTGTCTACTTGCTAAAGCACTATTATAGCTACTATAATTTTAAATTAAGTTTTCTGGAAAACTGTTGAACATTTTGGCATCTAGGATTAGGTCAGTAGCCATAAATCTTACTTATATTCTCAATGCAAAGGAGAAACTGCTTTCTTGGGAATTGTGAAATCCAAGTTCCTTATTATCCTGTCCTTACAAGGTATTGATATATAATACAAAATGTTCAATTTTTTTTTTTTTGTTATAATCATTAGATTAAGCACATTTGTACAGTCTTCTTTTCATTCATAAAAATGGAAATAAGTCTTATTAAGTAAATTCATGGGCTTGAATTCTTGCTCACTCACAATTCTTGTGAAATGTTACTGTGTAAAATCTTGAACATATGTGTCTGATTTCGCGATTGAATAGAGGGCGATTAAGAAACCATAGAAATTGTTTTGAAATAAGGAAGTTTATTGTCAAAGGCCTTTAAGCTAGGTTTTAATTGCTTGGATGTCAGAAGGGTAGATGTGATTAAATTTTTAATAAAAGGCAACAGTATTTAGTATAAATCTTCTGGACAAAATATGTTAATTAAAGCAAAAGGTTTGCATAATATTTTATTTTGTTCTTATCATATTTCAATGGATATCTGTTAATACTGATATTATATATTTTTGCTACAGCATAGATGAGAACTGATTGTGTCTGTGTAGTTCAGTAGCCTGTTGCTTTTAGCACATTTCTTTCATTATCTGTATTATAATCAGGAAAAATAGCAATATTCTCATCTTTGGTTAAAAATGACAGTTCTCAGATTTCCTTTGGGGTTATATTATTTTTGTAAGAGGTTGTGGAAGACTAGATGAATTAAGTTTCTGACATGGAAAAAGAAGCGATATGTTTTTGAGATCTTTACTGATAGGCAGATATCCACAAGGCTTTGTCTGTAGTCATACTTCTGATCTATATAGCATTTCAGTCCTTTATGGTTTAAAAATGGGATAGGCACAGTCCTTTTAACCTTCACTTTCCAGGATTAACTGATTTAATGATCTCTAAAGAGGATAAGTGCTTCTCAAAGGATTCAGAAATAGAAAATTATTGTTGGGCATTATGAAACATGCAACTGTTCCATGAAGTGGTTGGATTTCTTCCATAAAGCCAAGTACAAGAGGGAATTCAGTACGTTGCCGTTTACTGTTATTTTCTTAAACTGTTTTTTTAAGCATATCTTTAGATGACAAAGATTGAAGTGCTTTACATAAAAAGCAGCTTTGGACCAGATTTACCATGGCATATCTTCCTAGGCTTCACTGGAGCAACATGGTTTTTTATTGCATTAAAAATTAGTCTAAAATACTACTTGCTGTAGACAGTTTTGATGTTGCCTTCTGTAGCTCTCAGTCTAAAGATCCAGATAACTCATTAAAAAAAAAAAAAAAAAAAAAAAGCTGTCCTTTTTAATGTGTGTCAGAAGCAATTCTGTATAAGAAAGAATGATTTTCACCTGGCTGTATTTTACAAATATTTTGTAAGAGTGAATGGCTTGAAATTCAACAGAAGGACTTTCCAGGTGTATCCTGGGAATGTGCTATGTGATAGTCTTCTCTTTGGAAGCAGAACATGTAGTTAAGAACCCAGGTGATGAATTGGTAACTGGTTCATCTTTTTTATGTTTTTACTAACAACAGTACCTTGGGAGATCAATTTTATTATGTTTGCAAGCTAGGGAGATATTATTTCCCATCATTCCTCTCATTTACGCAGAGAAAAAGGGAATTGTACTTAACATATTTCTAAAAAGTTAAAAGTTATAAATTTATCCAAATCTCTTTGCCTTTGACTTGCTATAATGCTACTTCATGTCCACAAATTAGAATTTGTTTCTCAGTTTATGCAATTTAGACTTCCTTTTTTACATTTTTTTTTTTTTCCTCCGACATTGCACATAATGCTGTAAAACCTTTAACTGTAGTCTCAAACTCTACTTGACTAAAATTCTGGCTGGAAATTTACAAAATGTCATTATCTTCTCCTTGAGTGATGAAATAGCACCTGATATTGACCTGGTGATTACTATCAGGCATTATAAAGTACATTTATATTTCTGGACAGAATTATGATTGTGTACTAATTTCTCAGCTGATCATTTCTGGAGATCTGTCTTGACTTCATGCAAGTTCAATGTCAATTATTTTATAATCTCTTGTATCGCTTAACAGGGAATGTCTTTTTCTGTCAGTGAGAATTTCCCTTTCTCTCTTCAGACTGCCATCACTAGTGGCAGTATGACTAAATAAAGCTGAGATATTTAGAATAAAACCCAGTGCTGGTGTGACCACATCGACTTTCATGGAAGTGTGCCAGATCCTCTACTATGTTTAAAGGCAAAGAAATGTTTTCCACAAAATTTCTCACTAAGGCAAGGGTGAAGACTATTTATACTCTCATGCTACTCCTCTGGAAGGCTATATATAGATACGTATAGATAGAAACTGTAATTCTAAAGGACAAGAACCCCAAAACTACATTGAGAAGAGCTTTATGTATCACATTTAAGTTAGGTAAATGCTATTATATGCTCTATATTTCTCCACGGCTTTCAGAGAAGACTTGCTTCATTTTATTTCTCCAGTTTATGAGTTGTGAAAGGTCCACACTGCAGAGCTGATCCACATATCTTGTATGGTATTGATGTATGTAAGAGTAATACATTCTCCTTAAATGCTATGGTTGAAATCTTCTATGCATACACATTCACATTATTTCCACTTCCCAGTATCTTTTCTTTAACTTTCTGTGCTTGAGCTTTCCTGTGCTCACATCATGTCTTCATTTCTCCTGTGGCTACTTCTGTTTCCTACCGTCTGTCTTGCCATTTATAACTCTTTCCTCATTATTGAACTTTTTTTTTAAAATCAGCTTAGACAAACGTCCCTCCAGAATAGCACATAAATGTTTGATCTTTTTATTTGAGAAGAGTTATGGACTAAAGGATTTCTTATTGTCCCTTACAGATCTGTTAATTTTTGATTCGAAATCTTATAGATTACTAGCTGTCATAATCTGAAACAAAGCAAAAAGTTAACAGGAAAAAAAAAAAAAGGATAAAACTTAGTGATATAAAAAGTTAGGAATGTAACTTATCTATTTGCATGAATGCATGATACGTTTTCTTTTGGAAAGGATTCATTAATGTGTGGATAGAATTTATCATTCTATTTCTGTCTATTTAGAAAATGAGACATTTTCATGAGAAAATTTCATGCAAAATTGGGCATTATGTAGGGATAAGAAGTATGTTGCAAAGCCTTCAGTCATATTTAGACAACTAGTTATTACCAGTTTGTTTTGTTGGACAAATACAGGATGCCTGTGTTTAAAATATTTTGTCTTTAACAGCTACATTATTTTTATCTTGCAGCAAGTATAACTTCAGAGGGATTAAAACTGAAGGATATTATTTTAGTTCATCTGTATATGAAGAGCATGAAAGATTTCAATGCTATAAATTCAGTTTATGTGACAGAATTTGATTTGTGTCCACCAGCAAGGTAGGATTAGACTACTGCTATAGTATATTTATAATGCACTGTAATGTACTGTATTATTGTTATCACATTTATGAAGCTTTTCTACAAATATTTATGTCTCACAGACTTGGAAACAGACTTTTGCTACCTTTTGAAGTAATCATGTCAGGGGTGCTCAAGTCAGAAACACTGGAGTTGGAAATTCTTGCCTTTGTATTTTCCATAATGTTTATAAATGCCTCAATATGACTTTACAGAAAAGTAGTACATTTTTTGCAAGTTTCAGTTCTCCCTAACTCAGGTGAAATGACAAGTCTTTTGTATTGATGGAGCTCTGTTTGCTTGTGTGTCTCTCGGTCTTGGCAATTCTCCTCCTAACGCAGCCCAGGATAACATCAAACCTGGTGATAAGGGCACGTTGCTGCTTTCACTGTATACTAGGACCCACCAGGTCCATTTCTACGAAGCTGCTTTCCAGCTGGACAATTCCCAGCATGCACAGGTGCCTGGGGTTTTATCTTATTGCAGGATTTTTGCACTTGTTGTATAAGGTTCCTGTCAGCCCATTTCTCCAGCCTTTCCAGGTTTTTCTGAATGACAGCATCACCCTCTATTGTAACAATCACTGCTCTTAGTTTTGTATAAAACTTGTTGAGGGTATGCTTTGCCCTATAATTGAGATGTCCGATGAAGATTTCGCAGGGTTGCACTAAATGTATCTTTGGCGTGACCCAATATGATCTTTTCTTGTATGTTTCCATCATCTCATGAGTTGCATAGCTATACTTGCTTATTCAGTAAATATGCAAATATGAATAAGAAATTACTTCAGAATGCGCTGAGTCTAATATTTTCACTCATAGAGCTTCAAATCATAACTATTTAATATCCATCATACAGAACTGTTAACATTGGGTCCTTGTCAAGCTCTGACATAATGAAACAATTTGTTAATATTGAGAATTTGATCCTGATGTTATTTGATTTTAGTTTGTTTATTATTAGTTTTTTTGTTGACGTCACTGGAAATTGGACTACAAACACCTAGCCCATGAAAATTTTGCTCTGCTTTTTTAAATTGTTAAACATAATTTTCCCCTTGTAAATTCTTTCTTGCATTTGTCAGAAGAGCATATTTCTTATAAAAGTAGTTCATGTTTTTAAGCTTCTGAGATACTGTGTTCAGTATACAGAATTACTTTAGTTTGAAAAATAACTTGGGTGGATCCTCTGGAAGTTACCTAGTCCAACCCACTTCTCAAAACAGGCAACAAAGCTTGTATCTTGATATTTTTTAAATCAGTTGTTCAGCATTTTCTAATGTAAAATATTACATACTTTTTATTACAGAGAATGAAGTTTAGTCACATGAATTTTAAGTATAATGTGAAAATAGCTAGAAGATATTTGTTTTATTATTTACCATCGTTAAGATGGTATATTTACATTCTCCAAATTATCTATAGTCTGAGTGTCAGAGGAGAATAAAGACAGCAGGAAGAGGCTTTTTTGAGATCCTAATTGTAGTCCAGAGTTACCAAACAGTGGAGGAATGGAGTAGTGGTTGTGTGTGCCAGAAGAGGAAGGATTTAGACTCTGCTGTAAACTACGCAAAAATGTATATCTACTGCTCTGTATCTTAAGTTCTCTTTATGGCACTTTTTCCCCGATCTAGTGTCCTTCATTTCTCATGCTGCTGCATGTCTTAAGCCTTCACGTTTGCACAGCTGCACATAGTTTTCCATTACTTCTTGGAAAGGTCATAGTATAACTGGTAGAAAGACTAGGAAGTTGCAGGAGGAAATGACATTGATTATTTTATAGGACGTACAGATGTTGCATTTTAGCCAAAAGAAAAATTAAGCAGCAGTTTGCATGTCTGCATTGTTGCATTATGCACAGAAGCCTGTTTGTGGGAGTTCTCACAAGCAATATGCTAGAAGCATAGACTCAGGAGTCTATATCTGCACTAAATTTGCAAAATTGTCTTGAAAATTCACCATCCCAAGCAGAAAATCCATTCATCCATGCTTATGATGATGATAGTGAGGAAAAAACAGTGTATTTGTGTGGGAAAGGAGGGGAGAAAGATTCTTGGAAGAAATAACGCAAGACGATAAGAATTTTGTAAGGTTCTGTTACATGATACATAAAGAGAACAAGTAATTTTTTGTTGGATACCTGCTGGGAGATAAATGACATTTTAATGCATACACTGCAAATATAATTATGTTTCTGGCTTTGAAACATCATTGTTTTTTTCATTTTTTATTCTTTTTATTTATTTCCCTCTCTGCCCCGCTCTCCCCCCCTTTTCCCCCCACCCTTCACACACACACACAATTTTCACTAGCCATTTGCAATATACTTTGTCTCTCATTCAGGCACACAGTTTTGAAATTTTTAAGTTTGGAGCAAACAAAAATGAACTTTCTTAATGAATGCTTAAGTAGGTTTTCTGTGCGTTTGTCAAACAACTAAAAGTAAAACAGAAAAGTATGCTTGGTATTGCATTATAGCATGTGAGGATGGTGCAAAGCAACAATGAGCGGTTGCTCATGTTTAGAAAATTGAGCATTTAGTCCAACATATGCAAGGTGAGTCAGTGAAAAATGATGATACGGCCAGGTGCTCCCTATCCAAAAGCTGCTTTAGCATAACTTATTTCCAAAGTTGCATGGTCAAAATTTTCTTGGTGAAAGAATTCATGTATTCTTAAAATAATGATATACACCGTAAAAATAAACAAAGGTAAATGAGCCATAGGCTGTGGTACTAGTTTCTTCTTGTTAGTGAAGATTGCCTTGCTGGAATTGTGAAGCTGATTATCATTTGGAGAGGAGATAAGAGTGTAAATACCAGCAGGTTACTGCAATACTGTAGTGTTTGTTTTTATGTTCCTGGTAAAATTTCATTATATAGTATCCAAATTAAAAGAAATCAACATGGAAAATAAATGCTGATAGTGCATGCAAACTTTATTTGATAAAAGATAATTTTCTTCTGCTTTCAGAGTGTGTGTGGAAACCCTGTTGCCTGATGGAGTATTGTTTTGCATTGATTGCCTTGCACATAGCTGTGACATTGCAACAGATGACGTATTAAGTGAGGAAAAACTGGTCATGCATGTACAGAGTATTTCCCACTGGGCACCTGCTAGCATAGGACCTTACAGTCAATCCATCAAGGTAAGGAATCTTTGTTATTTCATGTGAACTATATGTCAGATTACTGAAGTGGGTACAGTTTGAAAGACTCCCTCCTGTCCAAATGAGCGTACAAGAGAAAGAAAGAAGGTATTAAAGTTTAAGGAAAATATTTTCTAGTGTAAAAAACAGAAAGAAAAAAAAAAAAGAAAATCACTGAATCACAGAATTGTTCAGGTTGGAGATCATTGAGTCCAGCCTCCCTGCAAAGCAGGCCCTCTAGACCAGGTTGCAGGGCAGGTGTCCAGGCAGGTCTTGAATGCCCACAACCTCCCTGGGCAGCCTGTTTCAGTGTTCCATCACCCTTACTGTGAAGAAGTTCTTATGCACATATGTGCAGAACTTCCTATGCTTCAGTTTGTAGTCATTTCCTTTTGTCATATTGCTGTCACGTTCTCATTTTTATAATCTGCTTAGATTACAAATGCACTTTAGGAACAGCCAAGATATTTGAAATTTGTTTAAAGTGAGCAAATCCAGACTTCTTCCATGGATCAGTCAATTGTAAAATGCCTAAGCAATGAAATTGCTCTTGATATTGTTCAACAATTTAAAAGTACACAGAGGTTGTACTTTGTTTCCAATAAATAACAAAGTAAATAGAATATTGCATCTCATATAGAAAGCATGAAAATGAGGCAGCAAAATATCGATAAGTAGACTGAAAATTTGAATGAAAACTTTTTGCAATGAAACAAAAGTCCTCTTGTCCAGCTTGCGCCAGCTGAGCTGATGGAGTATGTCACCTTTTATACTGCAAAAACTCTGTATTTCTTTACTAGTGTTTTTCTTATAAACCAAGTCTAGCCCAACAGTACTATGAGAACAAAAGGTAAAAATTTGAAATTTATCATGCCAATATCCTTCTCATCTGTAGCAGAACAGTGGCAGAATGATACTAGGATTTAAATTCCACTCAAAATATTTATATAAAGGTTCTTTTCTCTTTTGAGAATGTTCTTTAAAGATGACCTCAGTGTTTCCAAATAGATGTAAACTGTTTTAAGATAAAATAAGGCTGACTTGTAAGAAAAAAAGCAGAGATCATTTTTCTTGGTCCGCTTGTTTTAATAGTATAGAACACTGTCTATTTCAGCTACTGGAATGTAAGCTACATTAGAGTTATGGTATTGTATCACAAATGTCTAGGACTTGCAGTGATAATTATTTTCACTATAGTTATTTTCTAATTATATTAGCTGATGTAATAAAAGTTATGCCTTTCTGTAAGCCTAATCTCATAGGGTAATGAGAGATCAAAGCATGGTCATGCTGGTTTTATAAATTTTATTTACCGTCTTTCAATCCTGTGTGAGAAACGTGTAGTAGTGAATTCTAGCCATATTTTAAAAAGAATTAAGGCGTTTGCATATTTTCAGGGTTTTTTTTATTTCTGATATTACTGGGAGACTATAACAGGCAGAATGAAATCACTTAGTTTATCTTTGTCCTCATCATGCTTTCAGTACATCTGTGGAAAGCTTAAGTTGATACTGAAAGAGAATTATATGGTCCTTTTGCCCTCATGTTTGGGGATGTTCCTTTTAGGCAGACTTCCAAAGTATTACAATTATACCTTTCTAATACAAATACAATAGAGTATCTAGGCTACATTCTGTTTCATAACATGCAGTCATAAGCCTTCATTAAAAATTTTTTTTTCAAAAGTCTATCTCAATTGAAACACTAAACACATAAGTAATTTAAAAGTCTATTTGAACTTTGTTTTGAAAAAGTTCCTTGTTTTGCTATCTGGAAATGAGCAAATAAACTGGAACAGTAGAATCTATTGTACTGTCATTCCACAATAATTTTTGATGCTGACATTACCTATTTTATAGATATAATGATATACAATTATCTATGACTTAATTATGTCACTTCTAGATGACACTTCTAGATTTTCCTTGTGACCTCAATACTTTCTCTGACAGCTGCCAAATTCTAGTTTCTACCATCCTTCAGGCATCTTATTCTCAATGTTCTCTTCTACGCTGTTTGAACCTAGTAGCATAAACTCTTAGTTTCTCTCAATTCTAGTGTCAAGGTCCCTACAACTAATTTGGATTCTGTTTCCTGTTTATTCACGTTTCAGTAAATCACTTATTTGCTTTTTTTTTGTGGACCTGTCATTTCTAACTGTTCAGTGTTGCACAAAACTCATGGACCACGGGCTGGACACATCTGGTGTAGTTGAATCCAAGTGATCTGTAGTTTCCTGAGAGTCAGAAGTTACTATACAAACATCTGTATCAAATAGTGCTGATTTCATACATCATTGATACAATAAAGTCTGATTCAAATGGCTATTTAGCTAATAACATCATCTTACCCAGTTTATCAGTTTGAGGTAATTACTCAAAATTATTACTCAAAAGTATTGCTCTGCCAAGGAAGGGGCCACAAGGTTTAATTCTGGGTGTGCTATTTACAGATTAATTAGGACATTTAACTTCATTTTTAATACTAAAGAATTAATCCCATAAAAATTAGTGATCTCGGAGGAGTCAGTTGTCAACTTCTGACAGGATCTCTTTGCCGTAATCTATTAAAATGCTGCTTTTATCTTGTCTTGCCTGTGTCATATTTTATGGATTTTTTCATAAACACTGCCTATACTTCATAAATGTCTCAATTTTCTAGTCTATTAACATTACTTCAAAAGCAATTGATAAAAGAGTAGGGCATGCATGAAATAATACACCAATAATGTGAAGTGCTGGAGGCAAGAACAGTGGGTAGTATCTGCGCAGCTTGTGAGCTGAAACAATGAAAGGATGTTTTATCTACTGCAATAAAGAAACAAATGATCATTTTTGATAGCAGGAAAAAAAGATTGCTGGTAATTGGGCAGATGAAAAATGGGTTACATGGAAAATACAGCATATTTTGAAAATGGTAACTGATTGGAAAAAACAAACATCTCCAAGCATGTATTTACATTTTCCAAACCTTTCCCCTTTGATTCTGATGTACGTGGCACAATTTTTAAATACTTGCTGTGAACTCCTAGAAATGGAAATACATGTGGTTCTTAAAGAAATACACATTTGTGAAAGAGGTGTTTGGAAGGATGTACAAACTAAAAGCCTCCAAGTGAAACACTTCAAAAGTGCTTATAGTTCCTTTGGATTAATTATAATTCCCCAGTTAAGGAAGGATTAAACATAGAGGATTTGATTCATTAGATAAAGTATTTTGCCTTTCCTTTCACTACATTTGTATGAGAGAGTCTGAGTTTTCAACCTTACATTTTAAGTTTTGTTAATGAAATTGAACTCTTCATCCTCCAGCATCCAAATAGTGATGAAGTCAGGAAACCACAAAGAAAACTAGTAGCATAAAACTAGTAATGCTTAAAGAATATATATAAGTAGACAGTATGGTAAATAAAATACATTTATTAAAATTCTAAAAGCAGTAGAAATTTCTAAAAGGCATCTATTACGTTGTCTCTGCTTTTAGGTATTCTGAGCATGCATTCTGTAGAGCATCTCAGCTCCCACTCATATTAAGGTGACTGTCAGGAATCAAATGTGGAACTGAGATGCTTAGTGCATTAAAACAAATTAAGTATACACTGGCTTGATATCTGTCTGTCATAGCTTCAGTGGCCACTATTTTACACAAAGTGCATTAAGACGCTGCTATCAGATTCAACTGCCTTACTTAGGGCAATCATTCATAGTGTCTTCCCCCAGACTCTGCTTCACTCTGTATCAATTTAAATTTGCCAGGTAATTCTCTGTTTGCTTGAAAAATCTATAACTGCCTAAACTTTGATTGGTGCTGTTGCTGCCATCTAGGGAGACAGACATCTGTCTGTTTTGTCTCTGCAGTCTCATCTCTTCAGATTTAAGAATATGCAAACGTAAACCATGGTCCCCAGAAGAGTCTAAATATGAGGAGGTGAAAAGGATGACTGTCATGTTTTGTATGATGAAGGGTTTAGTGTGCTTCCTTAGGAAATGCAGAAATTAAGTTTCAGTTCCCTAGAGGCTGAACATTTAATCTAGAGCTCACACTACCCAAATGTTTGTCTGCAGGGTGTACTGGAAGTGTACTTCTCACTTTCCTGTTTTTTAATCACAATTCAAAGGTGAGGAACCATAAACAAAGTGTCAAATTTCAGTATGGTTAGAGAGTTTAGATCTGAGATACTAGAAGCATCTTTACCCTTTGGAGGATACTCAGGATCTCTAATAAGAGGGAGTTGTCTGGTTTTTTTTTGTTGTTGTTTTTTTGTGTTTGTTGTTGATGTTGTGTTTTTGTTTGTTTTTGGTTGTGGTGGTTAGTTGTTTTTTGTCTGGTTTTGCTTCTGTTTATTTTCCTTGGAGAAATGATACAGACAATGAAATTTTTTCAGTCCCAGACTATGGCATTCAGACTTAGTCCTTCCAGAATTTGACTCAGAGTTTTTCATTGCTTCCAAGTAGCTAGTTTAGTAAACTGTATGTTCACTGTGCTGACTGATGTAAATACCAGGTAAGTCTCTAATTTAGGAATGTGAACGTAACACCAAAAGAAAAGTCAAAAAAATGGTTTGTGAGAATTCTTCCAGTTGCTTAATAGAAAGTAATCTTGTATGTTTTTCTTTACTTCCTCTTTCTTTTCCTCTCCACATAACTTGCAGACAGCATTTTTCTGTACCTCAGAAAGAGGACTTAATATTTTTGTGGTTTGTACTTCTACCTTCTTTTGATGTCTCTAAATACATATTGTATACTCACCACAAGTAAGGTTATGTTTACTGATAAACCCAACTGTTTTTCAATGTTTTAAATCTATGATTGGAATTTGATCAATGGCAGATAAGAATACCTTCCTGCTAATGATACATCTTAAAGTTTGTGACCTGATATTTAGCATTCTTACGAAAATATTGTGTAATTATTCTACTAATTCTATGAGGAGCTATGTGTGAATTTATGTATGAAAGGAATCCCTTTGATTTCTGCTCATATACTTAAATTTTATGTATA